TGGGTGCCCTCTTCTGCTGCTTCTGTCTTTGTCTCTGCCTACTCACACACCAGCCAAGCATTTGTGTTACTGGCTGCTGACTGCCCGGGCTCCATCCAGCATGTGATAATCTGTGTGCATCAGCTTTCCCTCTCTCAGCCTCTGAGGACACTGGACTTGCTGTGGCCAGGAAATCAGGCTCCTTATACCCTTTCATTGGCTCCCCACTTCTACCTAGCCAATTAGGGAGAGGGCTTCTTCCCTAGGAGGTTGCGAGGCAGACTTTTCAGAAATTGCAGTAGCAGGGAGGAAAGTGGAGTCAGCCATGTCTGGTGGGCTCCAGGAGTATGCCATGAGGGAAAGCTGGTGTGGAAGGTGTCACATAAACCAACCATCCCTTTGGTGGCCCAGGCCAGGGCCTAAGCAGAGTGATATAGCAATTACCAAAGAACCATCAATTGTTTTCCAGTCAAAGTAGAAATGGGGACCGTGATACTGGAAAGGTGAACCGAATGGCTGGCCTTGACTAAACATGTTCCTTTGTGAGCCATTTGGGAGATGAAGACAGCCACCATATCAAGACACCTGTGTCATGGGATGGAAAGTTCCATAAAGAAGCACAGGCTCTAGCTTGGGGATACCCTACCAAAGGGAGACCTAGTGGGTGGTTCCATAGGTTTGGTGACTGTGCTACTCCACAGATGAGGAGACCTAGGCTCAGAGAGTGAGACATCCCAGCCATGTCAGGCCACTTTGGGGAGAGAAGTACAGATTCATGTGAGCAGAGGCCACAGCCTGTGAGACAGCTTTGGGAGAACTCTTTAGATGTCAGGGATGATGAGCCAGAGTAGCTCAGGCTCACAGAAGAGGAAGACTGGAAGGAAGGGTAGGTGGCTGGGGACGGAACATTGGCTCTTCACCTTCTAGGAGTGAGTGGGACTCCAGTCCCAGTAGCTCTTCTCTTCCTGTTTCTTCTGTGCTGCAGCTGTAGCACAAGGTGTGAGTGGAGAGGTGGCGTGTGGGGCTGCTCTCCTCCAGTGGGTTCTGGGCCATGTGCTTGGAGGCCTTGGCCAGGCTGAGGGACTCGGTCAGGCCTGGGTGTCTGGTCCCAGCCTGAAGAACCCCCTTCCTCCTCCACAAGGAGGTTGACAGTGGAGGCCAAGTCCCTGGTGGCTGCACTGGGTGTGCCTGGGTCACCTAGATCCTGTCCTTTTGCCCCAGGGAGCATTTTGTCAAGTGTGCATTGCGTTAGCAGAGCTCCTGTGTGGGCCAGGACTCAGATCCCCGGGCTGGTAGAGCACCCTCCCCAGGCTCACTGTGGTCACAGTGCAGTGGGGATGAAGATCTATGCTCACCGCCCATGGATTGCACATGGGCTGCCTGGCTCCCGAGCCCTGGCCCCTGGGCTGTGTGGGTGTGGGGTCACTGCACAAGTGCATTTCCTGCCGGGGCCAAACTTTTTCGCACCTCTCAGACCCCATCAAAGGGATCTCCTTGCAGCGTGGCTTACAATTGGGCAGGCCCTGCGCGCATGTAGGGGGCAGCAACGCCTGAAAGGCTGCCTGAGTTCACTTCTGCTACTTGCTGCCTTAAAAGCGCTGGAGAGTGGATCCCACGGCACTAGCTGTGGGTCCGTGAACATTGATGGGCTGTGCTCATCAGTGCCAGCTGTCCTGCCGCCTTCCTCTCACCTCCCTGCTTTATATGAGAGCAGAGGAGGAGGCACCCTGAGAGTGTCACGGAGCGTGTACCCTCATGTGGACAAGAACCAGGCCACAAGCCACGCTCTTCAGACTCCCTGGCCTTCAGCCTCCTGAGCAGGGCTGGCCATGTCTCCTGGGTGAGGGAGCTGGTGTGGGGATCCCCCCACCTGGCCGGTGGTTCCACCCTCCCCAGGCGATGAAAAGAGCCTCCAGTGGGCCTCATGTGCACCCTTTGTCCCTCCGTCTGTCATTGTCCCTTGCTCACTTGAGCAAAGAAGTGTACTTCCTTCCCCCAATGCCACTGCTGCCACCTGTGGCCTGGACCAGGCTCCAGAGACACCAGGGTCAAAGCCCGCAGGTGCTCAGATCCCTTACAAAACATCGCATCATGTTTGCATACCTTATGCACATCCCTCTGCATGCAGTACTTTAAATGATCTTTAGATTTCTTGTGACACAGTGTCCTCGCTTTGTAAATAGTTGTTTTATGTACCGTTTAAATAACAAAGACAAAAAGTCGGTCCATGTTCAGTCCAATGCAATGATTTTAGTATTTTTGACCCAAAGTTGGTTGAATCTGTAGGTGTGGACCCTGGGATGTGGAGAACTGATTGTATAGGAGGGTAGGTTAAATACTACAGATAAGTTGTTCTGGGTGTGTAGTGTTTGCTTGGTTGTGTGGACCATACTGTGTTTGTATATAATTGGCAGGCTTTAGGTTGTTGCCAGGTTTTCACCAGCATGCTCAGGGCTGGGACGAGCCCCACTTGTGCAGTTGCTTTTGCAGCTTGGGTTGCTGCAGTGGAACAGCTGGATCCACAGGCTTTCCCTTTAGCCTTTAATACCTGTGGAGATTGTCCCCCCAAGGGACACCCCAGTTCCCACTGCCATCAGCAGTGCGTGTGAGTGGCAACCCTCCCTCTTCCAAAGCTGCAGACAAGGGAAGAGGATGGTGGACCTGACAGGAGACCAGCTTTGTGCGGGGCTGTGCTGGGGTGTGGAGGGTGCTGAGCTCTGTGCTTCCTGAGGCTGCTAGATGGGCAGTCTCACCTAGGCAGACTGGGGCTGCCAGTCCCAAGGTGCTCGGGTGTGTGCCTGTCGTGGGACTCCGGGCATGGGGGCACCCAGGAGAAGCGGGGGTGGCAGGGCTGGCGGGGCCCTGAAGGAGAGGCACTGGGAGGGCATTTCAGGAGGGGACTGGCATGAACAAAGGCACAGGGATTATTCTGGCAGGGCCACCATCCGGAGACTCTAAGGCACGTGGTTTCCCTGAAGCATGGTGTGGATGTTGAGGGGGGCTGGAGAGAAGAGACTGGGACTGATTAGTTTGTCTGTAGTCTTGGGAACAGTGAGAACCATTGGGAGGTGAAGGAAAAGAGAGGGCTGGTGGATGAGCGGGATTAGGGGCCAGTGAACGAGGCAGAAGGGAAGAGGTGCGCTGACGGCAGAAGGACTAAAGAGGAGGTCAGTTGTCCTGGCCTGACCCAAGCCTGGCAGGGGTGAGGGTGGCAGGATGAAGAGAGAAGCCAGTGCCCAGCTGGCATAGGAATGCAAGTGTCATTTATCAACCCACTTGGTTTCTTGTCGCAAAGAGCTGTACTACTCTTCAGTTCTGATTTGGCAGTGGTCTTACTGACTGTCGGAATTATTGCCCTGTCAAGAAAAGAAAATTGACTTCCGAGCACAGCCAGGCCTGATGGAAAGACACCGATGCAAAACACCAGCCCTGGTCCTTGTCAGGCACGTGTCCCTGTCCCTTTAGCCCAGGGGTTGGCAATAGCCGCTCTGCTCTCATCATTCTTCACATGTGTGAGTGCGTCCTGATTCGAGAAGTGGCTCCTTTGGTTGTGAGCTGGCAGGAAACTTCTGGCAAGGTGTGGCTTTGAGGTGCCCAGCACAGTTAGAAGGACCCTAAAAACAGAGTAGTAGGAGGCCCTGCTTGCCTGCCCGGGACTGAGGCCAAGAGAAGGTGAGGGATTCTCCCAAGGTCTCACAATCAGAAGCAACCGGAGACCAGGGATCTGAAGTCTCAGGCTTCGGGCCCCACCCACAGACTCTGATTGTGCCTGTGTGACTGGATGGGGACAGTTGGACTGGGCAGTTGCAAGATGACCTATGGCACGAGCTCCACTCAATAGGGAGCTGCTGGCGCGTGATGCCCATGTGCTGTGATGAGATGCCGTTCCTGGCACGCAGCAGGCTTGGGCTGCCTGGGCCACTCTTTAGGAGCAGTTTAGGGGAGGTCAGCTCTTGCTGATGTGGTGAGTTGCGTTTGGTCTTGGTCCCCTGCCCCACCCCTTTTAGTGTGCCTCTGACTTCCACGGAAGTATATCCAGGCCCTGCCTGTTGGCAGCAGTCCCAAGCTGGTCAGACCCTGGGCCTGGAGGGACCCGGAGGGCAGACCATGGATAAGAAGGTTGGTCTGCATCGCGTCGGCACAGACAGGCCCGGCTTCCAGGTGTGCCCACACCCCTCAGGCCCCAGCCCCTGTTTAGAGTCCTGAGTGCTGCTGTGGTTACTCAGGGCAGCTACTAGATCTGCAACTTGGGCCTTCTTTCTCCTGTGGCTCCTGTTTGCTTCCAGCCTGGAAAGCTGGCTTCCTCGCCTCAGCCTCAGACATTACTGCAGCCCTACCTTGCCAGCCCGCTAGCCCCACCTGCAGGCTGTAGAGGGGGCAAAGAGGGAGAACTATCTCTGTACTATTGCAGACCACCGACTGTGCCCCTTCCTGCAAAGACAAGTTGAGAATCACTGCTCCTTAGCTCCTCTCCAATTACCCGAACATTGTTCCGGTCTTCACAGCAACCCTAAAAGTCCACATTTGAAAAGCTTATTTTACAAATGAGTGAAGCGAGGAAGCCCAGAGAGGTTAGCTGACCTGCCAAGGTCTGTCTGACAGCTTCTAAGAAACTCAAAGGATAGACCAACCCCAAAGCAGTTGCTTCTCCAAGCGCCTGGCGTTCTCCAGGCCATCTCCCAGCCCTCGAGGAGTTCTGCCAGCCCTCTCCCAAGGGCCCCTGGCAGCCTGTGAGCAGCTCTGGGCAGCCAGGTGAGTGTGTCACCTGGAAGTGGCAGGTTCAGCGAGTGCTTGCTCCCTGGCCTCTCTTCCATTCAGGAGTCCACCAGCTCTTACCATCCCCAAAGCCTGAAAGAAAATCTGAATGGTCTTTGTGTGCCAGGGACTATGTGGTGATTGCATTAGTCCGTCTTATGTTACTATAGTGGAACGCTGGAGGACGGGTATGTTACAGAGAGAAGATACTTGGCTCACCGTTTGGAGGTTTGAGGGCATGGGACTGGCGTCAGTGTGGCTCTGGTGAGGACCTCTTGGCTGATGGCAGGAGAGCATGTGACACAGAGCTCACACAGTGACACAGGAAGCTGTAGAGAGGCTGGGCAGGGCCGGCCTGGCTCTTTGATAAGAACCTGCTCCCAAGAGCAAGCCAGAGCCCCATGAGGACTACATCAATTCCTTCCTAGGTCAGAGCCCCAATGATCTAGTCATCAAAGGTCTCGCTGAGCTTTCCATATGAGAGCCGGTGGGGGGACAGACCCCACCCACACCATAGCAGTGACCCACAAGCCTTTCTGCTTTCCTCTGTCTGCAGCAGCGCCGCTGGACCAACTGAGAAGGGCCCGGCAGAGCAACACCATGAGTATCTCCGCCCTGGGAGGCAGCCCCAAAGGTGAGGCCTGCGCCCCGTGTGTGCCCTCCTGGTGAGGTGCAGCCCCTGGGGCCAGGGAACTCCCCAGGCAGCAGAGCAGGAGCAGCATGTTGGGAGGGTTGCCCAGGAGGCCCCCCCTTTGAGGCGCTCTGGCCTTGCCCTTGCCAGGGAAGCCTCTGCCACCTGGAGAGGAGGAACGCAATAATGTCCTCAAGCAGATGAAAGTAAGAACCACACTGAAGGGCGACAAGAGCTGGATCACCAAGCAGGACGAATCCGAGGGCCACACTATGTAAGTCCAGGGCTGGCATTGCAATCCATGGGGCCCCGCGGTACCTGGGATGCTGAAGGACTTCTGCCAGGCCGCATGGCCACAGGCCGGCCTGGGTTTCACAGCACAGCCACAGCAATGAAGCTAAGGGGAACCCCGCACAAATCAAGGCGGGAAGACTCCTGGTGCCAGGCTGCTCTTTCAGGACGTCTCTTCCTTCCCCAGAGAGCTGCCTGCTGGCCGGAGTCGTGCCACGTCCTTTTCATCACCTAGGGAGGTCTCAAAGGCCAGGTAGGAAGTGATGCCTTGGGGATTCGTGCATCATGGGACAGTCCCTGCGGCAGGTCGAGGCGGGCGGTACCCAGAAGGCAGCTGAGAAGGGCCACGAAAGACCTGCAGCTTGGAATCACCAGGAAGGCCGGGCGAGTGTCCGTGCTCTCCTGGGAAAGGGAGTGTGGTGCAAGCTGTGTGGCCATGTGGCGTGCTGGTGCCCCTGCTGGGCTTTCATGGTGCCAGCTGACAGGATAGAAATGTCTTCGGGAAGCCCATCATTCTGGGAACGCGATGACATCTCTGAAGCAGTCTGGACAGCTCTGACTGTGGCGTGCTGCGGCAGTCAGCATGCTGGGGGCACCTGCACTTTGGCTCTGGCTGGGCTCTGGTTCAGATACGTTGAGCTGGCCTCTGTATTTTTGAAACCATTTCCATAAAATGCCCAGGGCTGGGCACTCTAAAGTGTGTCACTTCTTTCTGGCATCTGGAGGAGCTGCTCCAGAGAGAAAGGGGAACGGAAATATTGGCTTGGTCCTGGGCACAAGCTGCTGGCAGTTGGTGGCAGGTCCACTGTGGGGGCTCCTCAGTGGTGGTAGAGGTGACAACCCCTGACCCACCGGGCGGCCTCTGGTAACTGTGGTCTTGCCTGTCATCCCTTAATGACTCAATGCCCACAAACTGCCATGTCCTGTGGTCAAGACCCAGGCCCTTTCCTTGGGACTGACATCCCTGCGAGGGACACAGGCACAACCCATGTAAAGAGACAAAGGCAAAATGGAGACTTGCGGAGTGGGACAGGGGCCGTGTGTAAGGTTGGCGAGTTTGGGGACCATCTCATTTCGAGAAAGTCCACTCCTCACAGAGCTGGTTGACTTGGGGGGTGGGGCACAGTCCTCAGCTGGGACTTTGGTTTGGGGTGCTCTTGGAAACGCCATTCTGGGGTGTTGCGAATCAGGGTCCTGCCTTGGCTGGCTGAGGCCCAGGCTCCCCTGAGCTGTCTTGGGGGACACTGTGGCCATATGGTGGAGTGGGCAGGGAACCTCCGTCCAGAACCAGGTAGGCTCTGGGGACAGACGCTAGGAGAGCTGTCAGCAAGCAAGGCCTTGGGAACACCAGGACGGGGTAGGCCCGGGAGAAGCTGGACTTCAAAGGGGACACCTCTGCAGTCGCGGGATATGTCCTCCTGGGGACCTGCCTTGAGTCGGGGCCACACTGGGCCTGGCAATAGAGGAGCCAGCTGCAGGTGCTCTTCCCAGGGAAGGAGAAGGGAAGCTGGGGGAGGAGACCTGGCAACTGGGCTAGGGACGTGGGGCAGCCAGCTCTCCTCGTTTCTGCTACCTTGGGACTCCCTGCAGCCAGCTGCTCTGATGGTGCTTAGGCCTCGCTTCACTTCATGCCCCCTTTGCCCTTGGCAGGTCTCCAAGGGCAAGGGCTTCCACTGGCTACATCATCCGGTAAGTGACTGCAGGACCCTGCCTGCGTTCCCATGCCGCTTGGGCCGCCCCCTGACTTCTCAGCATCTTCTGGGCTCTCTCGTAGGGGGGTGTTCACCAGGCCTATAGACAGCTCATCCCAGCCCCAGCAGCACTTCCCCAAGACCAATGGGGCTCCAAAAAGGTACAGTCATGGGTAGCTCATGGGAAGCTGGGAGAGCCCGGTCCAGGGGGCTCTGCCTGTCTGGGAGGGGGACCGTTTCTGACTGGCTCTGGTCACTGTGACAGTGAGCACAGGGAGGGCAAATGTGGAGGCAAGAGGGGGGCCTGTAGGTGGGCACATGGACACCTGTCCACTTTCCAGTGCTGCTGGTCTGATGAAAGCCGCTAATGCTGGCCCTCTCCGCTCCTCCACCTCTGGCTACAAGATGACCACGGAGGACTACAAGAAGCTGTGAGTGTGCCATTTCAGACTGTGGGCATGGTCTGGGGAGAGAGAGCAAGTCTCATGAGCTGGACACCACCTGCCAGGGCAGCTGTGGCCCGGAGCCCACCGAAAGCTGGGTGCCCTGCACTTCTGAGCTCAGGCAGAGCAGGGCCTGCAGCATGCTCTAAGGAATGCGTGGGTCTGGAGAGAGGATCATGGGGCTGTTTCCTGGGTGTGCCGCGCACCTCTTAGGGCCTCAGGTGTTAGAGACCCCCATGGTCAGGTTCCAGTCCCCACCTGCCCAGTGTGCGATGCAAGCCTGAGAAAAAGAATACACTAGGAAACAGAACTAAGAGAGAGAAAGCAGGGAGCCAGGATGACCCATGCCAGTGCAACCGACAAAGGCGCTGGCCGGTTCCAGGCACTGACTTTTATTGGCAATCAGTTGGGGTAAAGGCGAGCTATGAATGGTTTCTATGGAAATTAATGTAAATAAAGCTCCTAAAGGACAAGACAAAGCATTCTCAAATTAGAACAGAATAGACAAAATGTATGGATGTAATTAGAACATTGTCTTTCCAGTCTGAAGGTTTTAGTTGTGGGAACAGAATTTGGGTGCGAGTTACTCTGACCTCGGCACGTAGGGTTCAGCCTGACTCACTTCTATAAACAAGCCGATTGTGGGGTTCACGCTACAGCCTGCCTTGGGCATCACCAGTATTACGGTCCTCTGCATTGGGCTCTAGGGCTAGGCTGTGTTGGGCTGGGGTCCTGATGACCCTCAGGATGTCGCTGGGCCTGACAGCCTATTGGCCTGGGCATTTTGGGTCTAAATATGAGCTATGTCTTGGGTATAAATCTTTGGGTTCTGCCAGATTTCCCTTTGAGGTCTCTTTTGAAGGCCCCGCTCTGCTTGACCAGGGAGAGGGACTCTGGACGGAGCTGTGGGTTTGCGCTTTTAGTTCCTAGGGGCCCCACCTCTTTATATTGTGGTGCCTTGTCCCCATATCCAGCATCATGGAGCAGCTGGCTCGTCTTTCTAGGGAACTGGGTCTTGAGGAACAGCTAGGACTGGATCAGGAGAGAGGAGTGCTGGACGTCGCAGAGAAGGAAGTGGCATGAACTCAGGGCCAAAGGCAGTGATTCCAGTGTATTCCAGTGGTGGTGGACATGAGGGGCCTAAGCTGCTGAGGTTGCAGCCTGGGATGGAGCAGGGGGGGTCACGACTACCTCTCCCTCCCCCAGGGCGCCCTACAATGTCAGGCGCTGCTCCCTCTCAGGGACTGTCGAGGAGGAGGCGGAGGTGCCCTTCTCTTCGGATGAGCAGAAAAGGAGGTAATAGTGTCCACTTGGGCATCCCCGTGGGTGGGCAGAGACCCAAGTCTTTGCTCCAACGACAAATGTACCATACATGGGCCGCAGCTGTGGGAACAGGGCTGTCCCAAGCCCTGTCGAAAGACCACCCAGCTGATATGGTGCCAGGGAGAAGCCTGATCCCTGGGGTTTTCAGGACATTCTTTCAGTTTTCTGGAAAGGGTCCTGGGAAACTTGAACAGAAGCAGCAGAGTCGGGTGCCGCAAGAGAGGCTGTATGCATGTGCTGTGTATTCTGGACCCTGGCAGGCTGTGTGCGCTGGGGAGCTAGGGCTGGGCCACAGGGCAGGTGCCCTTGAGCAAGTCACTGGAGCGCCCAGCCTCAGTGCCTGCCCTTCCCTCGACTTCCACCTTCCCGGGGCTGGTTCCAAGTCTTCCTGAGAGTACCCTGGGCCAGGCTGGCAGAGTGCATCCAGTTTGACCCCTAGCCCGTGCCACCCCAGGTCAGAGGCTGCAAGCAGTGTTCTGAGGAAGAGTGCCCCCCGTGAGCACTCCTATGTCCTATCAGCAGCCAAGAAGAGTGCTGGGTGAGTCCGCCCCTGGGACGTCCTGCAGGGCCAGAGGAGGCCTGGCCTCGGGGCCTGGCCGGGCTGGGCCACGACTGGCTCCATGCTGGGGCTGTTCCCCTCTCCTCGGGGTGCCATCTTCGCCTTGTGGAGGAGTGGGTGAGAGCTACTCCCACAGGCCTTCCTAGCTGGGCCTCCTCAGCCTCTCAGATGCATTTTCTATAAAAGACAAGGTAGTGCTGCTGCCTCGGGGCGGGTGAGGTGCTGGGAATAGGAGAGAGACCTAGGACACTTAGATGTCACCTTTCCATGGGTTCTGCCCAACATGGCGTCTTTCTTTTTGCTTTCCAATAGCCCTACCCAGGAGACACAGGCTCCATTTGTTGCAAAGAGGTAAGTGGCGTCCAGGGAAGCCTTAGAAGCCTGTTGCTGGCCTCCTGTGAGCACGGTATGGGGATGGGAAGTAGGGGTGGGTGTCTGCTGTCCCTGAGCAGGCAGAGTTGGGACTGTCGTGGCACATGCAGTCCCAGTAACCAGTTCTGCGCAGGTGGGAGCCTGGGAGAGAAAATGCAGCTTGGGGGTGAGTTCCGCTTGCCACCTGTCCGGGCTGGGGCTTGACCCAGGCCCAGGAACAGAGCCACCAAGAGACATTCCCTGGGAGGTGACACATTGGAGATGAGTCCAAAGGGTAAACCAAGAAGGATCACCTTGTCGGACAGTCACTAGTTACCGCCATGCACCTGCTGGGGGAGGAAAATATTGGGGGAAGAGTGAAGAAAAAACTTCCGGAAAGTCCATTGTTGTGGATCTTTAGTTGGGTGGACAGGGAAAACTTCAAAGTAAGGTGTCCTAACAAGCTGAGAATGGGAATCAAGAGGGAGTTAGTGTGCCAAGTGTCGCAGGGGTGCCAAGGCCAGAGGAGGGAGATGGGAAATGGTGAGCAGGGGGTTGGCAGCACAAAGTAAGTGGCAGAGAATGGTGTGTTCTTACTGACTATACTAGGTTCCTGCAGCTGCGGTAACAAGGTCCCACAAACTGGGTGGCTTAACACATGAAAACTGCTTCTCCCACAGCTTTGGGGAGCAGACCTGGGTGATCACAGGGCGATCACAGGCAGGGCTGGTGGGGAGAATGCATCCCAGGGCCCTCTCCTGGCGGTTCTTGGCGTGACTTGGCTTTTCTGCATCACTGCAATCTGTGCCTCTGTTTCCACATAACTCTTTCCGTGTCTATACCCACATCTCCCTGGTCTTGGATTTAGGACCCACCCTAGTCCACTGTGACCTCAGCTTTCCTTGATTGCATCTTCCAAAACCCTATTTCCAAATAAGGTCAGAGACACAGGTTCCAGGGGAACACGGATCTGGGGAGGACACATTCTGCCCTGCACACTGTCCGTACCCTGAGCTGGAGTGGCTGGGCCCCTCTTGGCCACCTCAGCAGGGCAGCCAAGACCACGAGTGCAGTTTCTCCTTTTGCCCACAGGGTCGATGTGGTGGATGAGGACAGGCCGGTGGAGAGGAGCCAGGAGCCACCTGCCCCGGCACAGTCTGCTCCTGGCTTCAGCAGGTAACCAATTGTTTGTCTCTCTGGGACCAGTAGCTGCCAGACCTGCCTGCTGTTCAGTCACTAGAGGACATCTGTAAGGCCACCTCCCTTCCAGGCCTAAGGGTCACTGTCCCATGTGCCTGGTAACAGGATGGGCCCATCTGGCTGGATGTCCCAGGGCTGAAAGAAACAAAACAACCTGGCCTCCAGGGAGAGAGTGCTTGGTTCTCATCTGTTCAGAACTTATCTGTGTCACCTTAACCCTTGCACTGCTGAGCTTTCTGGTAGAATAGTATCCCAAGACAAAGTGCCAACTGTAGGATTTTAGAGGGCTAGCCACTAAACAGTGGCTACTGCCATTTTTAAGCTTGCTCCTGGAACTCCTGTAAGTTGGTCAAGTTCAGCCAACCAAGGAAGGAGTCTCACAAGTTGCCTTCTTTGCCAGCGTGGATGGAGGCAGAACCAAAGTTTGTTGGGCAAATGTGACCAAGTGAATGCTGGGTGTGCCTGGCCCCTTTGGGAGCCAGGAGGCCAGGTGGGTGCCCAGGAGCTGGTCAAATGGTTTCCTGCTGGCCCAGCTGGGGCGTGCTGCTAACCAGGGAGGACCCGGCAGTGGGGTGACAGGCCAGGGGCAGGCTGAGTGCTGCTGATCTCACTGCAGGTCGGGCTGCGATGCCTCCTGGCTTCTGAGCCCTAGGTGTCTATACAGATAATGGTGCTCTCTTGTCTGTGGACAAAGAGCAATGGATACCTCCTTGTACTCTGTGTGGAATGCTGCTAGGTCCTGCAGGGAGGCCAGCACCCTGGTGTTGCTGTCTGGATTGAGAACCTTATCCAAACCCATTCCTGTGAAGCGTTGTACCTTCATGATACCCGGAAGGGGAGAATGTCCCCACTGGTCACCATGTGGGCTCCGGGGCCTGTGCTGACTCTCCTCATTCCATCTTCGCTCCCACACTCGCGCTCCACAGTGGGGCCACCATCCCCTTGGCTCTCTCTGCTTGTCTGACTCTCTCCAGACCAATTTCATCCACAAGAACCTTGAAGATCTGGGAAGGAAGATTGAGGACAGTCTCTAGGGAACTTGGTAATTGAGGGGATATAAGGGCTCAGGCTGCTGTAATGAAGTAGGATGGACTTAGTGGCTTAAACAATAAAAACTTATTTCCTCAGAGTTCTGGAGGCCAGAAGTCTATAATCAAGGTGTGGGCAGGGTTGGTTTCTCCCAAGACCTCTGTCCTTGGCTTGTAGATGCTTATTTTCTCCCTGTGTCCTCACATGATCTTTTCTCTGTGTGTGTGTCTGTCCCACTCTTCTTTTATGAAGACACCATTTACACTGGATTAGGGCCCGTCCTAGTGGCCTCAGTTTACTTTAATTACCTCCTTCGAAACCCTATCTGCAAATCCATTGGAGGTGCACACACCTTCTGAGGCACTGGGCATTGGTACCTCAATAAATCAGTTTTCACAGACACAAGTCATCCCGTAACAGTATACATTTCCCATTTCTCCTTATTTTTTTTGGGAAAAAAAAGGCAATGGATGGTTTCAGATGCCTTTTAAGAGATAATGTAGGTTGTTCTTGTTGTGGATTTCAGAAGCATTATAACACCTTTTCTGTAAAATTCCTTTGTATGTTTAATATCCATCATCCGGCTGTCATGGCAAGATGGCCGTCTTGCTTTCCTAAGGCTGCTATAGCAAACATTCTAAATTGGGTTCGCAAAGCTCCCCAAAGATTGGAGATTGGAGGGATCGATGAAGAGCTTGGGTGCTCAGTCTGGAAAAGAACAGGCCTAGGCCTTCAGGTTACTGAAGAGCTGGGGAGAAGAACATTTCTAGACACCACAGCCGTCTCACAACAGGGCACCCTCCATCAGGAAGGAAGGATTCCCCGCTCATCAGAACTGTGCGATAGAGGCTCCGCAGGAAAGCCGGCCACGGGTCCAGTCTCCCAACAGGAAGTTCAATTTGATGCTCCAGATACTTTTCCCCTCAGATTCTGCAGCCACAGAATATTTGAAACTGAGTCTGGCTGCTTCCAATTGAGCTACTGGCTGGTCCTGACCCCGGGAAGCCTTCATCTCTGACCCCACCTCATCAGGCACTGCACCGGACCAGGCAGCCCCCCTCAGTCCCCCATGGCCAGCTACTGTCTGCTGGAGAAGCCCAGCCAGCAGGGCACAGGGACTTAGCCCAGAGAAAGGCTGGACTATCGTGCAGTGGGAGAGGAGACGTCATCATTCTTGTCCCCAGGCACAGGCCCGCCAAGGGCTACAGCTTCTCCAACTCTGGTCCTGCCAGCTCCTCCTGAGTCCCCCTTTTCGATATCCCCGGCCTGGCTGCTTCCCATCTCTGCTCTGGTTTCACTTCCTTGGTTCTCTCATAACATTCAAGGAAGAAGGAAACCCTCCCCCATCGGTACCCAAAACTGAAATTCTCATTACACTATTTCTTCTGGCCAGTGCAGTGTGACCCCGATATACTGCCTGGCAGAGTAGCTGCGGGGAGGGTATAGTAAAACTGTAGCTTCGGACACAAAATGTAATCCTGGTTTGGCCCTGAGTGGGCCGTGTGACCACGAGTAAGTCTTCTCACTTTTCTGTGCCTCAGTGTCCTCATGTGGAAAATAGGGGAAGCCGTAGTACTTGCTTCCCAAGGCTGTCCCAAATAGGAAGTGGGGTAGACACATCAGGTATTTAGTGCAGAGCCTGGGCGCTGGTACCATTGCTTGCTCCCCTTAATATATTTGCTAATCTACTGATCACCAATCTGCAGGGCCCTTTTTCCAGTGCAGGAGGAAGCCAATATTGCCACCTACTGGCATTTTGGGGAAATGCGGCAAAGGATAATGAGAAGGACACCCCCCTCCACCCACCCCCACACAAAGACTCTTAACACACTTTTGGTTTGGTTTGGTACATATTTGCAGTACGTAATGTTTACATTCTTCTTAGGGAGTAGGTACATGTACATAACATATCTTAATTCTTTTCCCCTCCCTCTGACTTTAGATCCCCATTCTAATACACAGAGATCGAACTCCCTGTTTTGTATTGTCTGTCTTTTATTTTTTGTTTTTGTTTTTTTTCAGACAGGGTCTCACTATGTAGTTGAGACTGACCTGGAACTCACTCTGTAGCCCAGGCTGGTCTTGAACTCACAGGGATCCTCCTGCCTCAGCCTCCCGAGTGCTGGGATTATAGGCGTGCACCACCATGCCTAGCCTATTTTATTTTTAAAATACAGTTGTTTATGCTTTGAGTTTCTCATATAAGAGAAACCATGTAATATTTAAGCTTGTGTGTCTGATTTATTTCACGTAGTGTTATGGCCTCAAGGTGCATCCATTTCCCTACAAATGACCCATGGCTGTCCTTCTTCAGGGCAGAGTAGTACTCCATCATGTGTAATACCACATTTTCTTTACCCATTTATCTGCTGATGGACGTGTAAGCTGCTTCCTAGATTTAGCTATTATGAGTTGTGCTGCGGCTGGGGATTTAGCTCAGTGGTTCTGCTGCCTGCCTCACAGGTGCAACGTCCTGAGTTTGATCCCTGGTACCAAAAAAAAAAAAAAAAAAAGTTATGCTGCTATAAATGTGGGTGTGCATGGATCACTATGGTATGATGTCTTTAACTCTTTTGGGAAGATACCTAAGAGGGGAACAGCTGGGCCAAATGGGATTTCTAGTTTGAGTTTTTTGAGGCATCACCATACTGATTTCCATTTGACATAGGTCACTGTCACTCCCACAGGCACTTGGGGCCTAGGGTTTCAGAAAATGCCTGGCTCTCTGTCCTCTGAGCACTTCCCAGGGTCTGCAGCCTTCCAGAGTGTTCTTTGCCTTGTGAAGCCCAGCTTCAGACTTCTGTGTGACCCACAGCTGCTGTGGCGGAGGCGCTGGGGTGGCGGTTACTGGAGAGGAGAGGCCCGACAGCCCCTGTGCTCTCTGAAGCGGCTTCAACAAGAAACTGGAGATGGGGTGAACCGAGACAGCAGAAATCTCTTCACGGTTCTGGGGGCTGGAAGTGTGGGATCCGGGTAGTGGCAAGGCTGTGCTTCATCTGCTGGCTCAGGGGCAGAATGTATTCCAGGCCTTTCAGTTTCTGTTGCTGTCAATCCTTGGCTCTTCCTGGTTTGCAGCTGTAGCCTTCTGCTGTCTGCCTGGGTCTACACGCAGCCCTTCCCCAGTGGCTTCGGTGGGGCCAGCAAGGCTGGCGTTGGCAAGTGGCCTCTCCCTGGGGACTCGGACGCAGCGCCCCCGCGTCCTCCGAACCCGGGCCTCCGTGCAGGGACAGCCGATGGGCTCTGTCCCTCCTGTGTGCTTTCCTGGGCCTGGGGCTCAGAGCCACACACCCATCCTCTCTGCTTCCGGGCAGAGGCCTGGGCCCCTTCTGGCTTCTGGGGGCCGCCGCCCCGCCTGTCCTCCCTCCTTGTGCCTGGCTCCAGACTTCCCCCGCCTCGCCTTGTAGGACCCCAGTGCTTGGGTGAGGTCGGGCCCCATCTTATCTTCAGCACCCTTGGAGACCGGGCCCCTGTGGGGCGGGACTTCAGTGCAGCCTTGCGGGCCACAGCTCAACCCTGTCACTGCCCCTCCGGAAGAGGAAGAGGCGCCATTTGAGCGAAATCTTTAAGGAGTCGTTCTGAAAAATGACAAAGGAGGAGGTACAAGGATATGAAAGATAGGGTGCTGGCTGGGGTCCTTATTCCTTTCTGACATAACAAAAATGACAGTGAGAGAATATGTTTTACCCTCTTGGACATCCCCAAACCAGCCACGCCCCCATTCCCTGGCAGCACATGCTTTAAAAATAGGCTTCTAGGCTAGGTTGGAGCCAGAAACTAGGGTCCACCCCAGAGCCAGCTGAGAGTGGCTAAGCGATCTGGGAAACTGTAAGTGAGGGACCCCCTGTCTCCCTGCCTTTATCCTGACCCTTCTAACCCTTTCTCCTCCCAGGTCTCCCCGTGTGGCCTTTCTATAGTGTCAGTCTGATCATGTCACCCCCATAATGCCTGCCTCACCCTGTCCTGGGGTTTGCCTTTGTCAGACCAGCTGACCTCACTTGTGCCTGGAAGGCCTCTTGCTGTGGCCGAGGGAGGTCTGGGCTCAGATCTGGGCAGAAGATAGGTGAGGGGCCTCTTCACACCCCTTCCTCTGCAGCCAGCAGGTCAGTGGCCTGAGCGCCAAGAAGGCCTGAGGTCAAAGAGGAGGCGAGAACAGAAGTAAAATGGGGGGATGGGGATGGTTCAAGCCAGGTGGCACCCGTGGGAGAACATCCTTGCATGGCCAACACAGCAGGAAAGGGGCACCTCTCTGCTCTCCTGTGGCCTGCAGATCGCCATACCTGGGCAGGTCTGCCTGGTAGTCCCAGACATAGAAGGAACAGTGTCCTGGGGTCCTGCTGCTGTCTGTCTCACTCCACACCATCCAGAGACAGGGGCAGAGGGTCTGGGGCCACCCGGCAGTCCTGCCCCCAGGAGCCTGGAGATTGGGGGTTGGTGAGAAACGCAGCTGTCTGTTCTTTCATTGGGCAGTCATCACAGAACAAGCGCTTGATCCCTGGGAGGCCACGGCCCGATGTTGGGGCCCAGCAGGGCCTGGGCCTTCTTGGGCCAGAGCTGTTGACTCTCTCTGATGGGGTTGGCATGTGCAGGTATGACCCAGGTCAGCCTGAGATGTTAACCTCGTGTGCTTTGAGCTCCAGGAAGGGACAGGACTGGCCAGTTGTGTGGAGTGGGGACACTGAGGCAGTTGCATTGCCTGTGTGAGGGGGCCACCTGTGGTGGATGAGGTCCCTGGATCAGCCTCTGGGCACCCTGAGCTGAGGAGGAAGAGGACAGAGAGGGCCGTGACTAGCAAGGAGCACAGCGGGCCTGGCCCTGCCCTTGGGGAAGCTGGTGGGATTGGGGACACTGGAAAAGCCAGAGTCTGGGGCAGGAGGCAGGGGTGTCCCCAGGAGGTGACCCCTCAAGCCCCAGAGTGGCGGTAGCCCGGGAGAGCTTCCCACAGGAAGTGCCATCCATGACACATCTCTTCTTTGGTTCCTTCTCCCTGGCCCTGCACACACCCTGTCCATTCCCGCTGCCCTCCTCTGGGTCCAGGTCTCCAGCATCACTTGCTAAGCTGTCTTCCACCATGTCCCGCTGTCCCACCCCCACACTGTCCTCCATGCGTCCACCTGGGAGATGCTGAAAGTCATCAGTGCAAGCCTCGTGGCAGTCGATGCCATGGGAGGAGAACAGGCAGCCCGGTGGGTTGTGGAGCACGTAAACAGGGAGGAGCACTGGGAACAGTGAGCTTAACGGTGTGAAGGAGACCTGGAATGTGTGGCCAGGGAGGAGAGGTGGCAGGGACGAGGGAGGGCCGCTCATGTGGCTACTGATGGCAGTGGGAGACAATGACAGGACTATCTCTGTTGGACTTGACAACTTGGGCCCCCGATGACTTCAAAGAAGACCGTGGGGACTGAGTTAGTGGGTTAAAGTTGGGCTTCCGTTTGGAGGAATGTAATCCAGAAGACTGAAGTCAGACAGCTCCGATCCAAATCCTGGCTCTCCCTCTTACTACAGTGGAACTTGAAATAGATCACTGTGGCTTAATGGAGCTCAGGCGACTCATCTGGAAAATGGGCACCTACAGAGTTACTGGACAGAGTTAAAACATGTAAAGCCACGAGAACACACCTGGCCCCCAATCAACACTGGGCATCAGTAAGGTTTGGTCAGTCAGCCAATCAATCCACGGCAGGTTTTATTCTTCTTGGAGACAGCTGGCTTTTGGGGATGAGGCAGCTGCCTGCAGCTGTGGATGGGTGGCTACTCATGGTTAAGGTCTGTTTCTTTCCTCCATAGGTCTTCTCCAGGCCACAGAGACAAGGAGGCCCCCTGCCCCAGAGAGCTCAAGGGACACTCCATTGGTGAAGAGACCTTCAAGGGCCCCAGTACAGATTCTGAAAGGTAACTCACTGCAGAGAGCAGACTCTTGGTCTCCAGGACACAGGAGCTTTGTGCACCCAGATTGCAGGGCCCTCTCGGTCCAAGGTCAGTGGACGGAGTTGGGAGCAGGACAGTCCTATTCCTGCTGTGTCCCTGGGGATAGTATGGGTCTTCAATGAGCATCTGTTAAACAATGAATGAATGAGAGCCAGGTGTGGTGGCGTACACCTGTAATCCCAACACTCAGGAGGCTGAGGCAGGAGGATCGCTGTGAGTTTGAGACCAGCCTGGGCTACACAGTGAGTTCCAGGTCAGTCTCGACTACATGGTGAGACCCTGTCTCAACCCCCCCGCCAAAAAAATGAATGAATGGATGAGACCTGCAGAGGGTGGGCCCATGCCAAGGTCCCCGAGGCAGCCAGTTGTACAGCAAGACCAGACTATGGCGAGGACGCTCCAGTCCCAGCACTCGGCCCTCAGTGGGTTCCTTCCATTCACTGGAAGCTGTCACACTTGCTCACTAAGCATGCTTTTACTCCAGGACGAAGCATCCATGCCAGTGGCCTTCAGAGCCAGGCCCACAAGTTGGCAGTTTAGGGAATTCAGTGAGCAGAAGTGTGTGGGCCTCCATCGAGCATTTGGCAGGGGCTTTCCCTAGGGGCTGAGGGACACAATTGCGGGCCGGTCAGTGAAGAGAAGTCAGAGCCTCGATCGGTTGGGGCTGGTGAGTTTGGAGGGGACCGTTGTGCTCTGTCATCCCAGAGCCCTCCCACAAACGAGTCCCAGACCTTTGAGGCTGGATCTGTAAGCAGTGGCTGTAGGTTGGGTGCTTCCTCAGTGGGCATCTGGCCGCCACAGATTTGAGCCCATGGACCTGGCTCCTCAGTTAGGACTCCAAGCCCTTGGAATGAGGGGTGGGCACCCCGGAAAGACGGCGGGAGCCTTGGGGCGCCAGGGCTACTAAGTCTTACCTGTTGATCTGTTTAGTCATCAGCCCCCAGGGTGCTCACTTCCTCCCCTCACTGTGTTTCTTGACTTCTCTCTCTGAAGCAGCTAGAAAGACTTACTGTTGGGGTCCACTTGGGCTTGGCTTGGTCTTAGTGAGAGCAACGCAGGGCAGCAGTGTAGGGAAGGGCCTGCTCCCATGACGTCACAGTTAGATAAAAATCAAAGCCTACTCAGACGTAGCAAGGGCTGAGAGTGTAGCTCAGTGGTACAGCGCTTGCTCGGTGTGCAGGAAGCCCTGGGTTCAATCCCTAGTTCTTCAGGGGAAAAAAAAAATTCAACAAACACTTCTCTTCCCGTAACAGGTCACATACACAGCTGAGCGATGGCCCCGTGGGATCTGGAGTCATAGAGTCCCCACCGGAAGGCTTGGCTGGAGCAGACACTGGCTTGGAGAGCAGAGGGTGAGCCATTTGTGGGAGATACATCCTCTCACATCCCTGGTGACAGGCCAGGCTCAAGCTGCCAAGCTGCTTGGGATGTTAAGAATGGACACTTGTCACTCTCCGGGGCTCCTGTCTACTGCTCTTCACCATGTCCTTTGCCCTTGGATTTCCCTATGCTCTGCTCTTGTCCCCTATTCCCCCACCCCTGCCTCTGGTCCTCAGAGTCCTTCAGCACAGGCACCAGCTTCCCCCACGCTGGAGGCCCAGCCCGTACCTAAGGCTGGCCCTGGGCAGGTGGAGTGAACATGTAGAGAATGCAGGAGGGACAGACTGACAAACGAGTGACCAAATCAGTGCATTTGTACTTCCTGACTGAGCTCTGAGGACCAGCCAGGGGCCCTGGCCACCTCTCTTCTAAGGGTCCACAAGAGGGAAAAGTTAGGACTGGCGTGTCGAGCTGCACTCTGGGCTTCTGGGTGGAGCCGGAGATCACTTTCTCAGAGGCTTTTGGGGAGCTCAGGCTTGTCCCAAAATGGTTTCAAACAAAGCATGACTCATTCCTGGGGCCAGAGACTAGGACCACCAATGCTGGCACACATCCTCGTGCTCTGAGCTGTGCCAGAGCCCTCAGGGTTTGGATAAGATGCTGGAGAGGAGCAGAGAGGCTGGTGTCCCCAGGGAGCCGCAGCTCCAGTGTGCCAGGCCCACCTCCCTCGTCCCCAAGCCGCTGGGGGCTGCTGTCCCTTGCTACCTTCACTGGCTGTGTTGGTGTCCCGGAGCCTGAGCCAGGAGCACCAGCCCACACTGGGAGGGGACAGCAGGCCCTGCCTCTGAAGCCCCAGTGCTGCCAAGGGACGGCTCTGTTCTGCCTTCCAGAGAAGTCTTTGGGCCCGAGGTGACTGGGTCTGGCTCCAGGTTGCCTGCTTTGTCAGTGCTCGTCTGTATCCTTTCTCTTTATGTGGCCTTGTAAAACCCTCTTTGCTTTCCTCTCTGTTTCTTTAAAGTGAAACCAAACCTGAAAGTAACCTGCATAATTTTCTGAGGAATCGTCCATAGTTTGAGGAGGTTCCGCCCAGTCTTGTACAAGTGTCGTAGTTTGACAGTGATTCGTAAGAAACTCCTTGACTGTCATTCCGAAGTCTAGATTGTTTCTCAGAAGCAATCTTCCTTTCGCGTTCATCTTCACGAGCTTATTCAGTAACTGAGCTTAGGGATGAGGGCTCAGTCACAGACAGCACAGAGAGGCTCGGGAACACAGGCTGCCCGCGTGGAGGGCATGGGCTGGCCCAACCCCAACAGCATGGCACCCTGTGCACGGGTCTGCCTCTGTCACGGAAGCCTGGGTCAGAAGAGAGCCACACCTGAGCGGCTAGGTGCATACAGAGGGCCAGGGGCCCGGGAAGAACAGAAAGCTGGAGCACATTTTAGGGTCAGCCATCATTCAGAGTACTTGGTTATGGATTCCTGTACTCCTCCCAGAACACACTGGGGCCTGAGGAGGTCAGCTGACATGCCTAGGGTCACACAGTTGGGAGGCTCAGTCACCTGGCCACTGCCACACCAGCCCGGGCGTCAGGCTGCCTTGGGGTGTGATTGGGTTTGGCCCCCCACTGTGCCTCATGCATCTGAGCAGCTTCTCACATCCCGTCATTTGTTGGGGACAGAAGCCACCCTCTCGGAGAGGATAGTCATAGACACAAGGTCCCGTACCTGGACCAGGCTTGATCTCCTTCCACAGGCTGGGCCCGGCTGCTCAAGTCACTCCTTGGCTGGACAATCAGGATGTTCACCATGTCCACTCTCACTCCTGTGGGCCTGAACCAGTGGCCATTGGGTAAGGGTGTGGAGACCGGCCCGGGGACGGGTCCCCCTGCTGGGCACAGCCTTTGTGGCTCAGCCTCAGCTCCAGTTACCAAGGCTCAGATCCATGCTACCCTCACCTTGGGGTGGGGGGCGTCACAACAGCCCAGGGAGACTGAGGAGGGCCCTGACCTGGAACTGTACCCACCCCCTGGGGACAGTGGGAGAAGAGAGACAGGTGAGCAGACCTTTTAGTACCGACATGTATGGACCCGAGCTGATGGGGCAGGGGAATCAGTGAACCTTTTCTGTAGCGACTGTACCCTGTCCGGGCAGGAGGAGTCGGGGTGAGGAATCCCAGGGATTCCCATCAGCCCAACAGGGCTCCATCCCAGGGAGCGAGGGGCTGGGAAGGGGAGATGGCTTCAGGGGCACAACTGAGAAGGAAGCTGGGAAGGGAGGACCTGGGCCCTCAGCTTCCTGGGGTCTCAGACTTCATGGGCTGGTGTACTTTCTTGTCTCAGCTCCAGCACCACTTCAGCCTCTATTGTCCCGGCCAACAGGAAGAGTGACATTGCAGCAGACCCGGAGGGCACAAAGGCAGCCCTGAAGGGGTAAGGCCATCAGTACAATGCTGAGCTTCCGAGGTGCACAGAAGCAGCTGGGTGTGCATCGGCCTCTGGCCAGGAAGCTGAGGCCAGGGAGGCCTGTCAGCTGGACTGGGGCAAAGGCAAAGGCAAAAGTCCCAGCTGGGACACTCTGACCTCTGCCTCCGGGGCCAGGGAGATTTTTACAAAACCCTGTTGCTCCCAGCCAGGAAGTCTGACAATCAGGAGGCAGCAAGCAAACACTGGCATGATGCAGACAAACCAGGCATGGCTCTGCTTCAAGGCGTGCTCGGACTGGACAGGGTACAAAGCCTGGCCCAGCTTGGGACAAGGCATCAGTGCTACAGCAGGAGAAGGTGGGGCTGGGTACAGCTTGGTGGGGAGGTGGCCTTGAGTTGTATCATGACAGGTGAATAGGACTCCTCCAAGGGGGGAGGACCGTATATGTAAAGAGCACAAAAACCCCGATCTTCTTGGCAATGAGTGTGGCCCACAGTGAGGGTTGTTGGGTTGGGGAGTGGTGGGAAAGGAGGCCATCAATGAAACTTAGGGACATCCTCTGTGTGCACAGTCCTCTTCGAATGGAGAGCACAGGCTTGCAAGCTGAGTGTTGGAGCCTCCTGGGTAGGGCAGTACTTTGGAGAGAACTGCCAGGGTGCTGAGATAAAAGATGTCAGCAGGAAGGCCACCTACTAGGTAGATGGAGGGGGCAACTGAGGCAAGCAAAGAGAAGGAGCTGATTTTAGAAAGAGCAGAGAGACATGAGTTGCAGAAACAAACCACAAAACTAATAATGCCGTAGTGGAATAGTGGAATGTGCTTAGCATATTCTGGAGAACAGTGCATGGAGCTGAACCAGTGAGAAGCACCTCAGATGTAGCAGGGTTTGGTCATCCATGATAAGAAGATTGGATCTTATTCAGGTTTTAAGCCAACAAGCAGCCAGATATGATTCAGTTATTTAAAAGTGAATGCACATTTGTATTTTCACATCCCATTGCAGTTGCTTTTTATTTAAATAAGAAGCAGGTGTAGGGTCACGGGGGATGCAGTGGGAAATGAATGTCTAAGGCATGAGGCCTTTTATGTGCCTTTTTCTCTTTTTCCAGTTGCACTGGCAATGAACAGCCAGAGTGAAAGCTATGGCTGACAGGTACAGTGTGCTGTGCTTAGCCATTTTACAGTCTTCCCAGCAATGCTGTGAGATGGACGTGGTGGGGCAAAACAAGCCATGCAGCAAAGTTAAATGATTTATTCCAGGCCAAGTAGCAGAGCTGACTACCAAAGAATAACTCAGCAGAAATTACAAAAGCCAGTTCATGATTTTTTTTTGAGCCAACTCTCAAGACCCAGAACCAGTATCTTCCAGCTTATTGATGTGAAAGCATACTGTGTGGCCTTATGTAATCTGCCTCAAACCCTGGAAAGGGCCTAGCAGAGGAGGAACTGAGGGACACACTTCTGTGTAGAGCAGGGGTAGGAGTAAAGTCCAGGCCTCTGGCCAGTTCTGGGGCCTAAATTCAGGAGTACTTTCCTCCTGGTGACTGTGTTTCACAAACTTGAGAGTCACCTGGGAAGTGTTAAAGGACAAAACACTTCCTGAGCCCCATGTAGAGTTTTGGATTTAGTTGTTCTTCCACCATCATTGTCTTCTTGTTTTTTGAGACAGGGTCTCACCATGTAGCTCAGGCTGGCCTTGAACTCACTATATAGCCCAGGCTGGCCTCAAATTCATAGCAGTCCTCCTGCCTCAGCCTCCCGAGTGCTGGGATAATAGGTGTGCATCACCGCGCTGGCTATCATTGTCTTTTTAAAAGCTCCTGTTTCCTCTCTTTCTCAGTCTAAGTCAAGAATCATTTTACCAGGGTAGTAGTTATGAACCAGGGAATCTCTTGGACTCCTCCAAACCTTAGGGAGGCATCTAACAATATCTGGAGACATTTTTGGTTGCCACAACTGACAGAAGTACCATTGGGCTTCTAAAGAGCAGAGACCAAGGATGCTAAATATTCTATATTGCCCAGTATATCACCCGATCCCCCCAGCACACAAAACAGAATTATCTGGCCAAAAATATCACAATATCTGCTCTATAGCACTCTTGACCTTTTTGGGAACACAGCCTAGGGGTAGAAAAGAAAAAAAAAAAAAGAGAGGAACGCAGAGGATCCCTTCTCCTAGGCTGCCTGGGACCCTAACAGCTGACGCAGAACGTGTGCGCCTGCATTATGTAACTCCGGGTTACAGCGTGCAATACCCTTGTGCGCCTGAGCCTTGGGGAGCATTTGGCTAGCGTGCGTGCACCTGCGCGTGGCTGCAACAGGTTGGTCCCCCGCCTAGGCTGTGTGGCCGTGGTGAGTGCGCCTGCGCACGCCCGCCATTTCCTGAGGTTTGGAGCTCAGGCCGCGGAGTCCGCCGGGAAACGCGACCTGCTACTGGGCGAAATGGCTGTTCGCGGCAAGACCGGCCTCAGCGGGATTCTCCTGAGGCCGTGCCCGCGATGGCCGTGAGGTGGTGCTGGAGGATCACAAATGGGCCCGGCCGCTCTTCTGGGACCCGCCCCGTGGGCCCTGGGCTGTCGCTGCCCTTCCCCCATCGCGTGGTTTGTGGCGACGTCCCCCTGGCCCTGCTTGGGGTGACCCCGCGTGGACCGTCCGAAGGTCAGGGGAGGTGCGGGGAGCGGTGCCGTCGTGGTCACGAGTGGAAAGGGAAGTGCGCACAGGGGCCCCCGGCGCCCATGGCCCTCAGAGCTGAGCCACCATTGACCCTCGGTGGACGCGGGCTCAGTGACCAGGGGCTTAGCCCCCTGGGGCTTTGATGAGCAGGATGGGGCGGATGGCAGCCTGCAGAGCATGGCAGCCCTAGTTTTCACCTGTTCCAAATTTAAGAGACACCTGGTGCTAACTCCGTCCTGTCTTACACGTGCAGGCAGAGACAGTATGGTGTAGTGGCTTGAGAGGTGGACGCTGGTACTTGGGTTCAAATCCAAGCTTTGTCACTTACTAACACTGTGTTGCTCATGTCCCCCGTGTCTCAGTTTCCTCTCCTGTAGAAGAGTGGTACTGACAGGGTGTGGTAAGAGTTAAACGTGTTTAAAGCATAGAGAACACTTCCTGGCACAGCAGACTGTGTGTCAGATGTTGGTTATAAAACCTTCAAGCCAAATGAAACAGCTTTAGAGGAACAGCTTCTTGAATTACTCACAAATCCTTAGAAAGCCCCCTGCTTCCCTTTACCAGATATATCGGCCTTCACTTGATAAAATACAGCATCTCATCTCCTTCCCGTTCCACTTTTGTCATCAGACTTTACATCTAAAGCATGCTGTTTTCCTCTTTGCTGTGTTGCAAGCATGAGTGTTTCAAGTTTATCTTCTTCCTGCATGAGGAGCATGCAAATGTCCAGCATAATTCAAATTGCTGATGACGGTTGTCAAGCAGTGTAGGGATCTGGTGGAGGGACTGCAAGAGCGAAGGGGGTGTTCTTATTTGTTCAAAGAGAGGTCACCAATTGGAAATGGTTGTTAGACTACTAGATCTTTGATCCAGTTACAACCAAAGGGAAGACTTCAGAGAGGTTGGATGCTGGAAAATTGAGTTCAGGGGAAGCCAAGGTTGGAGTGATGCTGAATGCTGGAATTCTGGGCTCGTGCCCCTGGCTCAGTAGGACGGGGTGTGCAAGGGTAGAAATGGCTAGAAGCCTCTCCTCTCTTTTCCATGATTCCTAGCTTTGCGTGCAGTGAGAGCATAAGGTGAAGTCAGGGAGGCACTTTCACAGTCCTCGGCCTCCAAAGCTGGGGAAGAAACTCCTTGCTTGCTGGGCTCAAGGGTGGCAAGAGTATCGCAGGCTTGGGTTTCATCTGTTACACTCAGAGGCTGCTGTGTTCAGTGACAAGGGTGCAGCTGTTTTGAGATCCTCTGGAGGAGGGCACTGCTGCTCCCCCGGGGGTAGCACGGAGCCTGGCTGGGCTCTGCCCCACCCTGGAGGAGACCAGCCCCTCCTCCATGCCCACGGTGGGCGCTCCCTCCACAGGATGTTTGTTCTTCCTCAGGGCCTCAGTCGTTCACGAGGAGAGGAACGTGGCCACCGAGGCCGGCGAGGCCTGGCAGGAGATGGGCAGTTGGGGCCCTGAAGGAAGGTGGCAGGGTGAGCCAGGGCCACCCTGCAGCGCTCCCTCCACAGGATGTTTGTTCTTCCTCAGGGCCTCAGTCGTTCACGAGGAGAGGAACGTGGCCACCGAGGCCGGCGAGGCCTGGCAGGAGAGGCCCGGAGCTCCAGCATGTGGTGAGGGAGCCACAGCTGTCCCTGCTCAGCAGCAGCCCGGAGCTGTCAACTGCCCAGAGCAGCGGAGCAGCCCCAGCTGCCCTGAGGAGCTCCTGGAGCAGAAAAGCAGTGGCAGCAGGTAAGGTCAGGCTGGGCTGGGCTTTCAGTCCACACTGTAGCATAGACGCTCACATGCACGCGTGTGTACACGCACACGCACACACACACACACACAGACACACACACACACAGACACATGCGCGCGCGCGCATGCACGCACACAGCAGGCCTGGAGCAGGAAAGCAGTGGTGGCAGGTAAGATCGGGCTGGGCTGGGCTCTACAGCTGGGATGGAGCCGCTTCCTCTGCTCCATACCAGCGGCTGGTGTGTTCCGAATGGGGTCACGGCAGTGGTTTCCTGGACCTGGAGTGTTGTTGATGGCTTCTTGCTGGCCTGGGGCTGTGATAGGTAGCAGTTTGTGCCCCCAGGTGTAGGAAGCCTGAGGCAGCTTCCAGAGCACACCTGTGGTAAGTTGGGCCTGTCAGAGAATAAGAGAGAGGATGGGTGACCGTGGGGGAACCTGTGAGTGGAGGGCAGGCAGAGAGTGATGGGGTCGCGATTCGTGGTGTGCTGGCGTGCGCCAGTGTGCATGGAGGACCGCGTGACTGTGGGTAGCGGGTGGAGGGCTCTCCGGGAGGCACCTCACCTGTACAGCTGTGGACACGACGACAGACTGAGAGTGCCGGATGGCCGAGTGGTCTCCAGGAGAGCGCCACAGAACACCAACCACTTGGGTGCATGGAAGCAGATGGTTCTTGCAGACAGAAATGCTAGCCAGAGAGAGCTCCTCATGCTCTTCCACCTTGGAGCAGTGGCACTGTTAAGTAGGAGGGTATTTTAGGGCCAGGTTCACCTGTCAGATAGCAGCTTTTCTTAGAAGAACAGCCAATGCGCCTTGACTGCTTAGCCTTAGGCCCTGTGGAGACCCAGTCCAGAGACACTGAGGGAGCAACTGTGGACTTTCTATCCCATCCCATGGTATCCTATGCTGGGCAGTGTTCCGTGTGTGTAGGCGGTATGAAAAATGCAGGCTGTGGCTAAGCGGGGTGCTGGAAGGCCGAGGAAGGCTTTGCCTGACGGCCGACAGCCGAGCTAGAGGCAGCACCGCAGATAATGGAAACAAGGCTCGTGGGAGGAAAGCTGAGGATGGATTGGTGACCTGGCAGAAAGCGCCGTGAGCGCACTGGGTAGGAAGCACATCTCGCGGGGTTTGTGTGCAGCAGAGTGCCATGGCCCGATGGACCATGGAACATCAGGCCAGGCTTGCACAGCCGGGCTGGGCAGAAAAGCCATCAGGAGGTCGTCTGCTTAGGCTCCAGGCAAGGTGAGCAGGCCTTAGGTGGAAGGTAATACTGAGGGAAGCACCATCGCCAAGGCTTCTCTCCAGTTGCAAGGAAATAAGCCTGGTTTCGCCTAGATCCTTTGTCCACCCCATGTGGTTTATGCCAAACACCTCATTGTCCATGGGAGCCTGGAGATTCAGCACATGCTAGGCAGAGAGCGCCTAAGTGACCAGAGCTCACAGACTCAGTATGAGTCTCCCATGGGCTTTGTTGGTCTGTGACAATTCACATGCACCGCCACAGCTCACTGCTAATGCCCCAAATTCATGCAGGCCTTCAGCCCCAGGGTGTCCTGCACCGGGAAGAAAGCCATTTGGTCCACTGCCCTTAACTTAGTAGGAATGCTGGGAGGGCGGAGGGTGGCAGAGTGAGGACGTGCAGAGACCGAGGCTGAGATAACAAGAGTTGTGAGGAGAAGAAAACTCCTTGGAAGGATTTTAGAATGCCTGACTTGACCAGGTTAGAATCTTTGCGAGCCCCCATAGGACAGAACATTCTCAGGGAGGGGACTGTTATTTCAGATGAGGACAGTTGGCGTGATCCAGAGGAAAGAGCTACAGGGCACAGTCGGTGCTCAACCTTCGGTGTTGGGACATCGAGGTTTTCATCCAATCAGCGACCTTTAACAGTTTACCAGGTCTGTTATTTCTGGGGGCTGGCGAGGATAAGGACAAAAAGGGCGATAAAGGAGGAACTTAGTGGATGTTTTGAATGACTTTATCAGTAAAATGGATTCCTCAACCACTTTAAAGATGTGGGGATTCTTGTTCTAACAAAATTGCAGCAGCAACATTGGCAGAGTTTTTATATAAGTGAAAGCTTCAAGCCGGTGAGAGCCATGCATACGTGAATAAGAACGTATCTATAGCCATGAGACTTGGCAGCAAAATCCAATCAAACTGGTGGTAAGGAAAGGTCATGAACATATGTGTATTAATAGAATTCCATATGCAAGTGATTTGAATTTCCAATTGAAAACCACTGGCCTAGAATCCACTGGATATAATATAAAGATATAAAATTATTATTAGTAGTAGCAGCAGTCCATAATGAATACATTCAGTGTGAGGAATTGGTATGTGTATACATTGCATCTGAAACCTCCCTAGCCCTCCTCCATCTGTAGATCCCCTTCACATTGGTAAAAGGTCTATCTCCATGTGTACTATTATCTCTCTTTTCCTTGGCTCTTTATTTTTACTTTGGGTTTCCCATATAAGAGAAACCATGCAATATTTAAGCTTGTGTGTCTGATTTATTTCACTTAACACTATAGTCTCAAGGTGCGTCCGTTTTCCTACAAATAACTCAGATTTATCCTCCTTTGTGGCTGACTTGCTGCTTAGTATCCGTTTTGTATAAATTCTACACTTTATCCACGCACCTGTTTGAGGACATACTGGCGCTTATGTGAGTTGTGCTGCCGTAAACATGGGAATGCACGTATCACTGTCATAGGGTGTCTTTAACTCTCTAGCGGCAGGTAGATGGTCTGAGTGGAATTCCTAGTTTTAGTCTTTTGAGGATTCTCCATAGTGGTCATGCTGGTTTAACCTCCCATCAACAATGCAGAAGGATCCCGGCTTCCTGAAAGCCTCACCAGCGTTTGTTATTTATTGAGTTCTTGATGACAGCCATTCTTTCTGGAGTGAGATGGAGCCTCAGTGTTATTTTAATTTGCACTCCTCTAACGGTCAGAGGTGCTGAACATTTTTCCCTGTACTTAGTGGCCATTTGTACTTCTTTAAAGAAGTAAAATCATGACCAGCTTAGCATTTTAAAAACAGTTGAAATTGCTGTTGATAACAGTGTGTGTTGTAGACTTATATCAGGCAAAGCAGCAGGATCTAATTAAGTAGAAACATCATTGGCAGTGAGCTAGTAATTTTATATAATTTCTGAAATATTTGTGTAAGTAATGTTTTACTTATTAAAATTAATTTTTAATTTAGGTTTTTGAGACAAGGTCTTGCTATGATTACCCCAGGCTGGCCTTGAACTCACTATGTAGCCCAGGCTGGCCTTAACTTGAAGCAGTCCTCCTGCCTCAGCCTCCCCAGTGCTGAGGAGGTGACAGGCATGTGGTATCACATCTGGCAAAAGTTGATATTGTGAGGAAGGCTTAGCATATTTGGATTTGATGATGCAGTTTATACAATATTAAATAAGCTTGATTATTTTTATCATCTCTTTTGTTCCAGGGTGAGGAAACAAATCGTTTGGAATTGTCCAGGGACCCTCTGAGAACTCTTACTATCAGTTTTAGTTGTAAAGTATATTTACAGGTTGATTTTAGGAAAGTAAAATGTAGAGGTTGTCAGGAGATCACAAATATTTGATTAATAGGAGTATGGACTAGTGAGGAGTAACATTTGGTTATACCTTGAATAAAAATAACAAATTTTAAAGTAACTGGAAATTAAAATGATTGTGAAGAATCTTAGCAACTTTAGAATTGAAAAGACTAAAAAATAATTAAGGGCGTGATAAAGGCAATATAAAGGAGAGGGCATTATTTGAAAACACACAAAATCTTTGGCTTTTAGATAGATTACTCAGAAGGAAATACTATAATCTTTTAGGAGCAGGCCAATGATCCAAGAAAGTTTTGTTATTTTAACAGAGCAAACCAAAGTATAGGTTTGCATCAGTAAAATATTTGCTATTGTAGCTCTAGACCCAGTAAATTTTAGTCAGTTTCAAAAATAAAATTTCTTTTTTGTGAAACTTATGTAATTTAAAAATTATCAATTTAAATTTTATTTTACATATTTTGAACCTATTAGTTATTTTAATTTAGAACAAAATTGTCCTTTTTAATAAAATATGTATTGCATACCTTGCAAGCAGTTGTTTTCCTTCTTCATTGTTATTTGTAGCAGTCTCATTTATGTAATTGAATATAATTTTAACCATTAATGATGTTGCAGCAGGGGATTTAGCTCAGTGGTACCACACCTGCCTTGCAAGTGCAAGGTCCTGAGTTTGATACCTGGTACTGCAAAAAAAACAAATAAACCAAAAACTGAAAAACAAAATTAAGGTTTTTAGAGACCAAGAAAGATATGTACACACTTCAGGAAAAGAAAAATTTGTATCCATATTTAATACAGAATTTATGGAGACATCATGAGCTTAATACAGTTACCTTTGCCCTCACAGTGGGGGCCATGAGCCTTCAGACATGTATCGGTACTGCGAGCTGCTGCTTGGGGAACCTTGGTCATTGAGTTCACTGCACCTGCATCTGCAATTTCTTCTCTGAGGGCTGCCAGTGCAGTGGGTCTTCTGCAATATACGACATCCTCTAGGGGCCCCCACACAAGGCTAACACCATATGTTGAAAAATCTTTATACTCTTTTGCTTTTCCTGAAATGTGTGTACATTTTTAGCGGGCTCTATTTTTCCAGAGGTAGGTTATTTTGAACTGTCATGTACCAGCCTTTTGTGGCACACTAGTAAAGTTTATGAGTACACATCCCATACCTTTTTTGTTTTGTTTTGTTTTTTGTTACCGGGGATCGAACTCAGGTCCTTGCGCTTGCAAGGCAGTCTGTGGAACTGCTGAGCTATAACCCCGGCCATCCCATAACTTTTATTGAGGTTATATAGTTTTTATCATTTTCAATTCATCTATAGACAAATTCATCATTTATAAGTGGATCTAAGTATAGCTTCTCTGTACCATGTAAAATAATACACAAAACTAGATGAAGTATGATACAAATTCTGTGAATATTTAAATATTTCAAAAATGTATCACAGTAAGACACATTGCCATAAATGCCCTCACGATGCTCCCCCTGGCTTCGAGCATGCTCTTCCCGTCATCCATGCCATTTTCTGCAGCAGTTCTGGAAATCCTCTTTCCCGAGTGTCTTTAGTTGTGCTGCTGTGGCTGTCTCGACGTCGTGAATCGATTCAAAATTTTTTCCTTTCACAGTCATTTTGACTTTGGGGAAGACTCAGAAGTTGCACTGTGTTAAATCTTATGAATAAGGTGGATGAGGACACAGTGTCGTGTTTGTACGAGCTAGCTGCCTTTCTGCTGTGTGGCACTCGGCAGCAGTAGTCACCATATTTTTTATCACACCTCATAAAGACACTCAAGAAAGAACTTCTAGAACTGCTTCAGAAAGTGGCAAGGACAAGAGGATAAGTGTGTTTGATGTGAGGGGGAGAATTGTGAGGGAAATAAATGGCTATGTGTCTTTTACTGTAAAAATTTTAAAGCACACGCCATATGTTTTGATCAGCCCTTATATAAACTTTGGATTTAGTAAGTAAGTATTTTATCCTACTTATAAATGATTTAGGTATATAATGAATATCTGTTACTTAATTTAGCATAAGTTTAAGGTTTTAAGTTGCCAAAAAGATGTTGGAAACTCTTTAAACTGATATGTTGTAATTTCTGTTGAAATAAAGTTTGCCAGAATAATGACTTAGTTTGGCTGAAAGCAAATTTCCATTTTTATGTTAAACATCCAGTAGATGTGATACTAGCTTATGTGAACAGTAAGCCTGCTTATGTCTATGAAAAATGTTCCCAAATAGAATAAAATTATTCTTGCAGTATATGTAGTGCTGCAAACTCAGGCAACGTAGGTGTTTCTATTAAGAATAGAAAACTCATCTTGTTTGCTACCGACTTACCTAAATTTTGTAAACCTGAATTTTAAATCATTTGGTTAGTTTTAAAAGAGTATTATTTTTATTTATACTGGAAGAATTAAAAGTTTCCTTGATTTATGGAAATTTTAGGTTTATGTAAATGTCTATCTCTAAATCAATTAGAAGATACTTTGTAAGTTGAGTAATATCTATAAAGCAAGGTAATAACATATATAAAGAACGTAGATGTATGTTCAAGCATACAGATGTACACGGGATTTATGGCTTTATTTCTAAATGATTAGTCATGAATCAGGCAGAAAGCTGCGAGATGGGCAGGTCTCACCTAGGCAGATTTGGGGTGCCTGTCCCAAGGTGCTCAGGTGTGTGCCTGCTGTGGGACTCGGGGCATGGGGCACCCAGGAGAAGCGGGGTGGCAGGGCAGTTGGGGCCCTGAAGGAAGGTGGCAGGGTGAGCCAGGGCCACCCTGCAGCGCTCCCTCCACAGGATGTTTGTTCTTCCTCAGGGCCTCAGTCGTTCACGAGGAGAGGAACGTGGCCACCGAGGCCGGCGAGGCCTGGCAGGAGAGGCCCGGAGCTCCAGCATGTGGTGAGGGAGCCACAGCTGTCCCTGCTCAGCAGCAGCCCGGAGCTGTCAACTCCCCAGAGCAGCGGAGCAGCCCCAGCTGCCCTGAGGAGCTCCTGGAGCAGGAAAGCAGTGGCAGCAGGTAAGGTCAGGCTGGGCTGGGCTTTCAGTCCACACTGTAGCACAGACGCTCACATGCACACGTGTGTACACGCACACACACGCGCACATGGCAGGCCTGTTGCCCTCTTCACGTGAGAGTGTTTAGGAGCCAGGGGGAAGTGGGCCAGAAACTAGCGTCCCAGTGTCAGTCCCCACATTTCAACTTGGATCCAGGGAATCAGCCATGATCATGACCACGACCAACACCAGCCCAGACCGTATTGTCCAGCAGCCAGCTGGGGGAAATAGGATTGCTTTTGCCATTCGCGTAGTTGGGAGGCCTCAGAGGAACGTGTGGGGGATGTGTACTCACTACAAGAAGTGAGGGCTGCCAGTTGGCTACGATCTGCCATTACCACCACCACCAGGTAGCCACTTGGGCAGCACTGAGGCAGTAACTCACCTAGGGTGTGCAGTGCTTGCGGGAGGCTGGCTGCAGTGGCCTGAGGAAACAGGAGCCGCATGTTCTCGAGAGGGGCGGAGCGCTGCAGAGGAGCAGGGAGTAGGGAGGACAGTGCCAGCCCCTTGACATGTGTCCCTGTGTGCAGCCCACATCTCCCAGAGCGGTAGATTTCCGACTCCTGGCCTTAGTGGAACTGTGCCATCCACACCAAAGTGTGATGACTGCAGTTTGAGTGTTATTTTATTAAATATCATAATTTTTTCCACAGTAGCAAATAATTAAGTTTTTTCTTTTTTCTTTACATTTATGAGTATGTGTCTGTCGTACATAATAATATATTTATTGTGGGGAGTTGGTAGATGTACATGATGTGTCTTCACTTTTTAGATACTGCTCACCCTTCCTTCCCCTGCCCCTCCATCTCTAGTTCCTTTCCCATCTGCCGAGGATCTACCACATCTCCCTATTTCATGCTATCATTAATGTCGCTCTTTATTTATACTCTGGATTGAAAGTTAGTTTTTTAAGCCGTCACAACTGTCTATCATCCCGGATCATTTTGTGAGCTGTCCAGGAAATGCTGGAGTTGTTGGATCGATTATAGTGTGCTCTTTGGAAGGGCCTCACAGCTGTCTGTCTCATCATACGTGAGCAGGATATAGAGGGCACGAGAGAAAGTCGTGATTTGATGATATGCTCCCCATTCCTGCCAGGTGAACTTCATCTCCATCTCTGATGGAAATTTCTGGCTTCCACATCTACCTTTGGTTCCTAGGAACCCACCATTGGCTCCTGCCCCAGCATGAGGTGTAGTAAAGGCTTCCGATCTGAGGCAGGATGTGGCGTATTGTAAGATTCTCTCATTTCTTGTGCTTTGTGGCCATTTTCTGGCTCCCTTACTTGATTTTGACTCACTGATTTGCTGTGACCTCTGGTCTGTCTGTGTGGTTCGTATTAGTTATTTTCATGTCACTGGGGTAAAATAGCTGACATCCACAATTTAAAAGAGGTTTATTTGGCTCACTGTTCAGTGGGTTCGGTCCATGGTCTGGTGGCTCCAAGGCAGAAATGGCATTGTGGAAGGGCGTAATGGACAGCTGCTCAGCCCGTGGCAGCAGAGAGAGAAGGGAGGTGCCAGGGACAAGAATAGAGCTTCTAGGTTACACCCTCATGACCTGCCTCCAGCTAGGCTCCGTCTCCTGCCAGCACACTCAGCTTCTAACTCATTAGTACGGGGAGACAGCATGCACAGAGAAGGGGAATGGCCTAAAGGATGGGCTGTGTGTCTAGAGGGTAGGAAGTGAGGTGAGCAGAGGCAGGAGGAGGCCTCGTGGTGACTTGTAGGCTACCGAAAAGAGGCTTTTTCTTAGGAGAGAGTTGGGATGTTTCCCTGTGAGGACCGAGGAGCACTGGAGAGCTCTGGTAGCTGACACTGCTGTCCTGTGGGAGTCTCCATGGGTGTTTTTAAAAAACCTTATCCCTTCCGTGCTCCTGTCCCCTTGACTGTTCTGCTGGACAGAATCGCAGGATGCCAGACTCTTGCTCATTGTTGATCGGCAGAGGATCAGTTCTTGTCTCACTTTTTTGCCCTGCATTTCATCCCCACCTGTCTTTCCAGGTTCCCATGGGACCCTCCCTCCCACCTCTTCCAGTCTCCACGGTTCATCCCTGCATCATGAATAGGCGCAGGATGAGGGGATCCACTGAGGCAGGGAGGCTGACACACCCCGTAGTGGGAGAACAGGCCCTAGAGTGTTGTCTGTGAAGCTGTGGGAGAGCTTGGCACATCCGGGGAGCAATAGGCAATTTAGTATGGCGGGAGGTTTGGTCGCATGTGACAGTTTGAGAATGTGAGGCGGGAGAGCCAGGCGGGCACTAGGCTATGAGTGTTTCTCCTGGCCAGTCTTAAATGCATTGAGGCCATGGGCATAGGATTCTTTGGCAAGGGTGTGACACTCCAGAGTGAGCCAGGTGGAGGCGGGCACACCCAGCGTGTTAGTAGAGTGGCAGCATATTGCACAGGGCAGTATGTGTCCATAGCAGTGGCTCCCGGGGACTGCATAGTGGGCCGATGCGAGCTGGAAAGAGCAGATAGGCAGGCAGGAGTGGTGCCACAGAATGCCCTGAACTGCGCCAGGTGTCCATGGTGAACTTGGAGGCCCGGGGCAGGAAACGTAAGGGCCTGGCCCAAGAATGGACCTGTGAGCTGCCTGAGAGGTAGGATTCAAGGATCAGGGCTGGCATTTGTGTTCTGAGAAACCACCGTGTCTGTTTTCTGCCTCCACTGGTGGCGGGTGCCTCCGGCTGCTCACTGACTCCCGTGTCCATTTGGCCCTCTCCTGGGCCTTCTGCTCTCCAGGCTCTCCACGGGATGGGGGCAGGAGAAGAGCTAGATAGCGCCTTCCCCTTCTGCGCCTCCTCACTCACATCCCCCGTAGCCCCTGCATGGGTCCCCGTGGCCTGGGCCCCCGCTGCAGTCAGGAGTCCAGATGGACGTTGAAAGACAGGGCTCTTGCTATTGACTCCTGTGACCTGGGCCCTGTCTCCATCCGTCTTGCCTATGAAGTGAGAAGTTCCACTGCGTCTCCAAGAACACTGTGAAGGCAATTGAGGGCTTTGCAGACTGCTTAACAAACACTGGTATTGGTTTAAACCTCTGGAGGCGGCAGTCTCAAGACTGGGCTGGAAAACCCTGCTGGGCCCAGGAAGATGTCAGGTCTCTGTGTAGACATGCTTGCCCTCCCCTTTCTTTCAGGGTAGAAAGTCCCTCAAGCTGTGTGGTTGCTGTTACCGTTGGTGCCAGTTCTGAGCAGCCTGACGTTTATATTCCAGCCCCACCGAGTGACTTGGACTCTGGCTCAAGCACGTAAGAAGGGATAGCTGGCACCCCAGGGCTGTTCTGTGGGCTCAGGGTGGCTCCCTAGTTCCTCCAGCTTCTGCTCCCTGTAATGCCTCCCCACTCCCAGCAGCCCATTGGCTAAGTGGTCATGGAATTCAGTCTTAGTTCCTCCAACATGAACTCCTGTTTGTAGGCCTGCACATAGTCCTAGCAACCCTACTGCCTTCTCCATATCCCAGTGAGAAGCGAAAGCCGGGCATAGTGGTGCAGGCCCATAGTCCCAGCTACTTGAGAGGCTGAAGCAGGAGGGCCATAAGTTTGAGGCCATCTTGAGCAACTAGTGACATACTGTCTCAAAAAGAAAAGATGCCAGGTACGGTGGAGCACATGCCTGTAATCTCAGTACTTAGGAGGCTGAGGCAGGAGGATCACTGCAAGTTCAAGGGAAGCCTCGACTATATAGTGAATTCAGGGCCAGCCTGAACTATATAGGTTGACCCTGCCTCAAAAAAAAAGGGCCGGGGGGATGTAGCTGAAGGGTAGGGTACTTGCCTAATATGCACGAAGCCCTAGGTTTGATCCCCAGCACGGCAAACAAACAAGCACAGAGAAGCTGAGGCTCCATGGCACATTAGTGGATGCAATCAGTGGGGGGCTCCACCATCCCAAGGACCTTGCTGTCATCCCTGAGCACCATGCCTGCGAAGGCTCACAGGAGCCCAAGCTGTGTCTGTCTCTTGTGTGCCCACTGTCTCTCATGCACTCCCGGCCACCTCAGCCTGCAGGAAGGCTACCAAGTGAGGTGTGTGTGTTGTGGGGATGCCCAAGAGGTCTTTGTCAACAGCAGGCAGAAGACTGGGGAGCAGATGGAGGCCTAGTGGTCTGCATGGAGGAGGGCACACTGCAGGGAGAGCCTCTTTCTAGATCTGTCAGTCTAAACACAAGCTGAGGCTGCCATGGTACCAGCAGCCTACAGCTCTGTCTGCTGTTGACCTTGGAGTTTGCCATCTGGATCCTGTCAGCACCTGGGACCTAGACTTCCCATGAGTCTCTGTGCTTCCTTCCCGGTGGGCTATGTGTGGGACGGGCGGACTGAGCCCTTTTGTGGGCCAGGCCCAGTCTTCAGGGATCCTCTGGTGACCTTCCTTCTGTTCTGCAGCAAAGGGATTCTCTTTATGAAGGACTACGTGAATGCTAGCAAAGTGTCTTCTGGGAAGTTGGCGTCTTCCTTCCAGGGCAGGTAAGAGCAAGTCCCAGCCCTTCCCTGCGAGGGCCTTCTCCCAGCAGACTCTGAGGGAATCTCGTTCTGGTATCCTTAGTACCTCCCCCAGGGCTTGGTCCAGAATGGCTTCTGGGTAATCACTTGGCAGCTGCAGGTCTTCTACCCAACTGGGTGCCTTTGAGTTTTCTCTTTACAGGTCATTTACCTCGCATCCCATTTCTGGTGCCTTCCCTTTCCGCCCACCTTTGTTGCTTTCATCTGCAAAGTCCTGACTGAGTATATCTGCTGTAGGGCTTTTAGAGACTCTCTAGTTAATTCCATCCTATTTCAGACCACAGGAGTCTTTTAGCCCTCACAGCCTTCCGTGCCCGGCTGCCCCATTTGAACACACGAGTGAATGCAGTACTTACGTGTATGTCACTCTTTACCGATCACCGTTTTGTCTGCTTGTTTCCTAGTGCCCTATGGAGGGTACCTCCATGTCACCTCAGTGCTCTGCCACCTACCTGCTCTGAGCATACTTTTTATAACACAGCACCGCATTGCAGCAGTGAGGATTTGAGTAACTGAGGGAGCATCCCAACCTTACTTCAGGCTTGGGCTTCTAGGGTTTCAGGGCCGGCTCTCACTGGGGCCCTGGAAAGCAGCCCCGCCTGGGTGCTTAACCTCCCCCAGCCTCACCTGCACTCCCTTGGGGGTGTTCTCAGTGCAGCTGGTGAGCTCTGGGTCACCCTTGAGTGTGCATAGTCCAATGCACCTTGGAGTAGTCGCAAGTGAGCCCCAGTCGCCACTACCCAATTCTGAAAAGAAACTGCAGACCTGTTAGCTTTCCCTGACATGCCCTGGCACCTCTCCTCTGTTTTCTGTCCCCATAGCAGTGCTCAGGAAAGTCCTGAGTGATGTGGGAGAAGTCTCCAGGACAGCCATGGGAGCTCTGATGCCATCTGGTTCTGGCCTCTCTGAGGTGCACTTGACTGAATTGTGTACCTCCTAGTTTTGCTTCTCCAGGTCCCACCGCCCCGACTCTTCACAGTTAAACCTATTTTAAAATAGAATTCGGCAATCAGTCAAAATGTTACATCTTATGAAAAACTTTTAGGCTTTTCTGTAGTGGACAGTGAAAATTGCGCAGTCCATGGCGATTTATCTTTTTGCTTTGCCTTCAAGGAAGCTTAGACATGAGCTTAATGTGAGAAGAAATTAGGACATTGGCTTAAAATTCAGTGTGCCCTTTATTCAAAGCATGACCTTGGGCAGGTCCCTGAACTTCAGAGCTCCACCACATGGCTCCCAGGCAAATGGCCCATTTATAGATAGCAGGTGTGATGAAAAGATTGCAGAGAATTACACAGTTTTTTTATTTAAAAGCTTATTATAATAAAACATACGTTGCCATTAATCCCCCTTAAAGTACTGTCCTCACCCCAAACACACTTACCTATTATCCTTCTCACTCTCCAAAACAGATCTGGAAGTCCTCTTTCATGAGTGTCTTCAGCTGTGCTGTTGTGGCTGAATCAAGTAAAAGCATTTAACTGTCGTGGTCATTTTAACTTGGGGGAAGATACAGAGTCACATGGTGCCAAGTCCAGTGAATAGGGTAGATGAGGACACCGTATCGTGTTTCATGAGCCTGCCTTGCTATTGGATGGCACTGGGCAGAAGCATTCACTGAACTTTCATCACACCTCAGAAAGATACTCATGAAAGAGGACTTCCCAAAACACTTCAGGAAGTGGCAAGAGTGATGGGATAAGTGTGTTCCAAGTGTGGGGGGGATTCTGAGGGTAATTGAGGGCAATGTGTCTTTTACTGTAATACGGTTTACAATTTAAACATTCACCATGTATTTTGTCCACACCTTGTATCCCAGGCATTGAAGCTAGTTAAGTGTCCCCCTGGCAATGTTTATTTTTAAAATTTTTGTCAGTACATGTTTCAGTACAAAATGATAACATTCATAATGGGGAGTTGGTTCACGTACATAACACATTTTAATTCTTTTCACGTCCCCTTCCCCACCCCACCATAACACTCTCACCCATCTCTTGGTCCTGTTTCTGTTTGCAAAAGATCTATCTCCCTGTTTCCTATTATCTATCTTTTATTTGCACTTTAATAAATTTAAACTTTGGATTTCTTACATAATGGAAACCATGCAGTATTTAAGCTCATGTCTCTGATTTTTTTTTTCATTTAACATTATGGTCTCAAAGTACATCCATTTTCCTGCAAATGACTCAAATGTATCCTTCTTTACCTCAGAGAAGCATTCAGTTGTGCTACATTTTGTTTCTTCACTCATCTGTTGATGAACATACAGGCTGCTTCCAAGATTTAGCTATTGAGAGTTGTGCTGCTGTAAGAATGGGTATGCATGGATCACTGTGATATGATGTGTCTAACTCTTTGGGGAAGAGACCTAGAAGGGAAATAGCTGGGTCAAGTTGAATTTCTATTTTTACCTTTTTTGGGAAATTTCCATAGGGATTATACTAGTCTACATTCCTACCAATAATGTAGAAGGGTTCCTTTCCCCCCACAACCTCACCAGTATTTGTTATTACTTGATTTCGTGATGATACCCATTCTTTTTGGAGTAAAATGGAGTCTCGGTGTCATTTTATTTTGCATTTCTCTCATGGCTAGAGATGTTGAACATTTCTTCATGTGTTTATTGGCCATTTGTACTTTTTCTTTTGAGAATTATCTATTTCAGTTGACCATTTTTTATTAGATCTTTTATTTTGGGGGGGTCTGAATTTCTGAGTTCTTTATATATCCCAGATACTAATCCTGTGTCCAAAGACTAGCTGGCAAGAATTTTTTCCCATTCTATAGGTTGTGTCTTCACTCTGTTGGTTGTTTCCTTTATGGTGCAGAAAATTTGCATTTTGATATGATCCCGTTTGTTGAGTTTTGGTGCTATTTCTTGTGAAATTGGGGTTCTGTTCAGAAAGTCCTTGCCTATGCCTATGTCTTTGAGAGTTTTACCTAGTTTATCTTCCAGCAGATTAAATGTTTCTGTTTTAACAGTTAGGTCTTTGAATCATTTTGATTCTAGTTCAGTGTGTGGTGAGAGCTATGGATCTAATTTCAATCTTCTGCACGTGGACAGCCAGTTTTCTGAGCCTGTGTGCTAAAGAGGCTGTCTTTCCTCCAGTGTGTGTTGGCACCTTTGTCAGAGATCAGGTGGCTGAGTGTGCCTGGAGTTGCGCTGCATCCTCTCTTGTGTCCCCACTGATCCACTACCATGCTGTTTGTATCATAGCTTTGTATTCTAACTTGAAAGAGAGTTTTGCAGGATGTATCAGTCTGGATTGGAAGTTGCTTTCTTTTAGGGCTTGAAAACCTTCACTCTAAGCTTTCCTGGCCTTTAAGGTTTGTATTGAGAAGTCTGTTGGAATTCTCACAGGTTTATCATTATAAGTGAGTTTTTTGCTTTTGTCTAACAGTTTTTAAGATTCTGTCCTTGTGCTAGAGATTTCTGGGACTTTGACTATGATATTTTGTGAAGTTCTCTTCTGAATACTGCAGTTTCACATTCTGTGTACTTCACTTATCTGTACGTAAAATTATTTCCCCATATTTGGACAGTTTTCTACTGGTATTTCTGTAAATAGATTTTATGCCATTTGTGCTGTCCTCTGATTTTTTCCACTAATTCCAGTTAATCATAGATTATCTTATCTTCATTAGCTAGGAGCTGTTGGAACAATTTTCCATGTTCTCTTCTTGTTTCTAAGATATCTGAGTACATGTTCACTGGCATCAGCCCTGTCTTCTATTCTGACTGGGACTCCTAGTTCTGTCCTCATACAGTCACTTCTGCTGTCCATATCTGATAGAGATGTTTATCTCCTGGATTTCTGTTTATTACCTTCTCATGGACTCTAATTCTTGGCTAAACTGATCTTTCCTATTATGCATTGTTTCATTTGGGCCAGCTGGCTTTTTTATCAGTGTCTTCTGTAAGCTTACTGATTTTTTGTTTCTTAAATCCAGTATCTGTTTAGTTATATCATCCTTGAGCTCACTGGGATCCTTATTAATTTGCTTTCTTGTCTCCTCTTTTATCATTTCATGTAAGTTAGCCATTGGACTTTGTATTTTTTCCCCATCGACACCCCTGGATTAACTTTCTGGAGTTGGGAGTTTTTGGAGGCATTTTGTTGCCTTGCACTCTTATCACTGAGCTAAATCCCTGGCCCTTTTCTAATTCTTTTAATATTTCCATTAGTTTTGCTTTTTTATTTTTGTTCTGAGTTCTGTGGGTCAATTATAGTGGAAAGACTTTGTTGCTAGTATGGAGATCTCTTTAGTTAGCATCTGCTTTCCAGTGATGCCCTGTGGGTGTGTCTACATATAGGCTTTTGTCCCTGCCCCAAGACCCATCACCTTTGTTAACCTAGGAGGGGAGGGTGCAGTATAATTGGCACTCAGTTCTCCACAAATGAACCACAGTATTGTTGGTGACACAAAGACAAACCAGATATTGGCATGCAATGAAAACCATGTGACAACTATGCCACTCTGGCAAAAACAACAAAATTAACAGTAATAGTAAAGTCAAAGACAGCATGGATATTGACCACTGTAAGAACCAGTAAGAGCTACCTCTGTAGCACCCTTAACCATAGATACGAGATCTATAGTTATAACAGACACAAACACCAAGCAAATACTGACATTAAGTAAATATCTACTAAATGCAACAATTATACTACCATTAACAATAGAAAAGAATTCAACAATAATAGCATACAGTTAAATACCTGAAGGTTAGTATAACTTAATACTAATACTAGTAAAGATGGAGTGGGAAATAGAATGAAAAAAGTAAGCTTTGAAAAATCATGAAAAGGAAGATGAAAATGATGAGAGAAAAATGAGATAAAAGATCTTATTAAGTAAAAGAAAATTAATAGAATTAGATAAAAGTAATAGAAGAGATCAAATAGCTTTCTCTAGTATGAGAAGCAAAATGTAGATAAGGACTAAAAGGTATAATAGATAATGTGAAATAAAAAAGGGACAAAGGGGAAGGGGAAATGGAAGGGGTAGGGAAAGGAGAGAAGGTTGGAATTAATATGAGAAAATGAAAAATAATGGAAACAAAGTCTTTGTAGATAGGGAAGGAGGGGTTGAAGGGAGGCAGGGGAATGGGGAAAATATAAGAACCAAGACTGATTATGTAAAATTACAAATTTTCAACAATATTGTATACTTTAAATGTACCAATAAAATTAATTTTAAAAAAACTCAAAAAATAGAAAAGATTGGGCCAGGGATTTATTTAGCTCATTGGTTCCACCTGCAAGGTCCTGAGTTCAATCCCTGGTACAAAAAAAAAAAAAGAAGAGATCAAAGAAGAAAGAGAAGAAATATTAAAAAACAGAACAAAATAAAGAAAAAAGAACCCTAAAAAACAATGAATAAAAAAAATGAGTCCACAAACTAGTCCTCCATGGGTTTGAATGAGTTATTTCTTCTCAAGAGTCTGCAGTAGTACAATCCAACAGACACAAGGAAAGAATAGTGAGCGAAACACTACTAAAGCCTGCTTTGTTTCCACACTCAGGCTTTTGTGTGTGAATGCTAAATCCCACCTGGCCCTTCCTTCTGGGCATGGTCAGTCAATGGTGTCCACCCCAGGGACACCTGGAAGTGTCTAGCCTGGAGAATTCTGAGCATCATGCCTTGTTATTTCTCTCACCACAGGGAGTCTTCTTTGTCCCCCATGAAAGAGCTCTTCAGGAGAAGTTTGTCTCCTTGGTATCAGCTTCTGTGGTACCACATGCCATTTAGGATTAGATTACATCTGGTGGCTGTCAAATGTAGTCATGTCTCAGCCTGTAGCCATAGGGTTAATGGAGGAATGTCCCTTGTGCATGACTGTGGTAGTGATCTGCCTCACATCTTTGGCCTTCTCCTTCCCCATTATGCTCCCTGCAGGGTTAGCAGCACTGAGGACTCATCTGACATGAAGAAGCCCCTGTATGACGGCACTCCACTCACGGAGAGGTATGTCTACTTTCTTCCCAGGGAGCGCTCAGTTCTGTGGAGACAGCTAAGGAAGGTCTCCATGCTATGTCATTTACCTTTGTCTGTCTCTTTGCAATTGCCGGTCTGTTCGCAGATCTGTCACATGGTTCAGGACACTAGGAAGCTAGTGCCTCCCTTACTGGGATGTCACACTTGTGGCAACTAAAGCCTTTGAATGCAGCTAAGAACAAAGGGTAGACATAAGAGAAGGGAATTGACATTGGAAAGCCCAGGAGACTCATGTCAGCAGGAGAGGCTCTTTGGATCATTTAATGACCAGATGGCAAAGGAAAAGGCAACTACAAAAGAGAGTGGTGGATGGAAAATTTTTTTTTTAAATACTGGGCTACTATGATCAAGAAGACAGAAAAGAGACGCAGAACTAAGGCTACAGAGTAGTATGGTGCCATTGAACTAAATGAAAGGACATAGGGCATCTCATCTGGCAATTCTGAAAGCATTAGTAGATAACAGCCACAGGATGACTTTTATAATAAAGAAGTCCTGTTTTTAAATTCCTCAAGTAGGAGAGCGAAGAGTCTTAGAGATTGAACTCATTCGGGCTACAGTAAAAAAAAGGAAGTCTGGGTAGAATAAGTAACATGGCCTTCAATCTCACAGGAAGTTAGTAGCAGAGCCAGGCCTAAATCATGTTGGGAATTTGACCATTCCCAAGTTAGGGATGTTTCTGCTAGCCTCTGCTTCTTGTTTATCAAGAGATCTCAATTCTTATTGGTTGACAATCAGAGGCCACCACTAGGCTGTGGAGAAAAAGGAAGGAAATAAAGAGTTAAGGGTATGGGGATCTTCCCAGGCCCCCTGGAGTAAACAGGTATAGGGAACCAATCTAGTCCTGCAAGAGGTTTGATCTCTAATGAGGGCAGAGCTCCAGTGGCCTACTTACCTCCCACTAGGCCCCAACTGTCAGAGGTCCCAGCACTTGTCCTGGCCACACTGAGTACCTAGGGGGACACACACTAACCATGTCCAAACCATAGGAGAAGCGCGCTGGTCAGGGGGCAAATGAAGTGAGGCCTCCACTCCCAGAGCTTCGGGAGACCAGATACGGCATTGAACAACTGCCAGCTCCATGACCAAATGCTACTGATTAATTGCTGGTGTCAGAGGAGGGAGGGGACTTCTCCAAGAGCAGCCCTAGTCATTTGCACACTCACATGCACAAACACACACAAAGAAACCTGAGCTGGGAGTGGTGGAGGGAGGAATGGGCCTGTGCTGGAGGCAGGCATCTGGACAGTGAACTCTGTCCAGCAGTGGGATGGCAGAGTAGACCCAGATGCTCTCGGCACTCAGGGCCTTGGAAGGGAGCTAAAGAATCAGGCCTGCATTTCTGGAATGAAAGCTCCCCTACTTTCAGCCTATTGGGTCAGGTCAAACATGCGCCTCAGCAGGTCGTGCCTAGGAGGAAAAGCAGAGGTGACTGTGGAACATGAACCAAGATTCCGGGAGAGGAAAGATAATCGGCCCAGAAATCCATATGTAAAACTTTAGCCTGAGTGCCAAGCAGACTCTAAGAAGGCCATGGGCAGGGTGGGTCCCAGAGTATAGGGGCCAGCAGGTGAGAGTCACTGGTCCTAGGCTTGAGAAGAGCGGCCATTGGGACTGACTTGGAGGGATAATGAAGAGGCCCACAGCAAGCGGAGCACTAGGCTGGCCCAGCGTGGCAGTCCTTGTAGCACACCTCAGAGAAGGATGGCAGGCTAGGACTCCTGACAGCTGAGTCAAACCCGAGAGTCTGGCTGCACCATGTCAGAAGTCTCCACCAGCCTGACCTCCAGGTTCTTGCTCTTCATCTCCTAGAACCGCTGGAGGGATCTGCACTTACTGCAGCCGCGAGATTGGAGACTGTCCGAAGATTACCCTGGAACACCTTGGCATCTGCTGCCATGAGTATTGCTTTAAGGTAAGGAAGAAAGGCGGTGCTGCTGAGACTGTCCTGTAGAGCACAGCCGTCTCCTGGGTGCAGAGGATGTGAGGGAGGCTTGGTCCCCACGTACAGCTGTGCAGTCTCAGCAGCTTCATAGGACTGGGAGCTGAGTGGCTTCCCAAGTCCAAGGGAGTGGGGGAGTGTTGGTAGTTTTATGTGCTTAGTACTATAGCAGGAACTGAAGCGGTTTCTGGGGAAAGACTTCCCAACAAGGAGCCAGCATGTGCAAAGGTACTGGGGCAAAAAGTGCAGACAGTTCTAGCTAGGATGACCAGTGAGAGGGCAGATGGTGGGCGATGAGGTTCCAGAGGTATCTGTGGGCTACCTTCTTTAGGCCTTGGAGCACACGAACTTTGGATTTTATTCTTAATGCAGCTGGAACATACTAGAGGCCCATGAGGAGGGGAGGGACTCCTGGCTGCTGGCGAGGAATTTTCTCTTTAGCAGTTGCTTCTATTTTCTTGGTCAGTACAAAACATGCTCACCTACTGTAAGAGGAGGGAAGAGTGGGGGGCATTTGGAAGAAGGGAGAGGCTGAGAGATGCTCAGAGAGGGAAGTGGAGGCCACGCTGTGACCCCTTGGAGGCCCAACAATGCCTCCTGAGACCAGGAGAGGAGTAAAGCAGGGCGTTGGTGTTGTCTGGGTGAGAGTTTGCCTGGGGCGTCTGAGGAAGCCGTGGGGCTGAGTGCTAGGGGAGGAGCCGTGTGGTCCAGATGGGGCAGAGGGCAGTTTGAGGACCAGTGGTATTCTGTGGACTCCAGGTAGGCTGTATTCTCCAGCTCAGAGACCATCGTGATGTGACAAGGCACATCGCTGGAACTGCTTCCTGGACTCATGTGATGAGTCCCAGATTGGTCTGCAGAGCACTCATCTGAAATGCAGTGGAACTATAGGGACCTGAAATGCAGCTGGTCTTGAGTGCATCAGCACACGTGGCTGTGCTGAGCGTTCTGGGACGAGGTTTTGCCTCTGTCCATGCATACAGAAAGCTGTTGTGACAGAGAAGTTGGGCCTCAAGTGTTTGGTGAATTCTTGGAGGGTGAGCAGAGGGCCTGAGAGCCACTTCCATGAGCCACGAGCATGGGGTCGGAGGGCATTATTTTTCTGAGGTCACGGAGCCACTTGGTCCTAGGTTGTGGCATCAGAGCCAGGGCTATCCCAGGAAAAGCCACCGTGTGACCCAGGGTCATTGTATAAACTGCTTCTTCAGGAACCTCAGTCACAGGCTCTCCTTCCCTTGCCAGAGACATTCTGGCTTGTGCTATTGCACCCATGGCCACCACGCGGGGGCAGGTCTTAGGGAGCTGCTGTCCAGATGTGGAGCTCTCCAAAAGCCCACATTGCTTGCTTTAAACTGGCAGCAAATGAGTCAACATTGTCAGTCGGCTCAATTCAGGTTCAAGCCTGGTTCACAGTAATTAAAATGCCAGAAGCATGATGCATGAGTAAGAGGAGTATTCTTTACAATGAGAAATGAAACTGCCGGGAGAGAGGAATTGATGAGTAAAACAGTTTGCCGTTTCTTTTTTTTTTTGGATACCATGGATTGAACTTGGGACCTTGTGCTTGCAAGGCAGGCAGCAGAACCACTGAGCTCCCTGACCCCTATTAGAAAGGTGCTTGGAAAGAGCGAGCGAAGGGACTTGGATGTGCCTCACAGCCGTTCTTCCCCCTTCCCAGCATCCTTTGGGAAGTTGAAGTCAGAGGACTCAGCCTGGAGATGGCTGCAGCAGGGTACTTGGGCTCCTCCTGCTTGAGACTGCTGGGAGGGCTCCCTGCTGGAGTTCCCTGTGCAGAGGTCCTTCCCTTCCAGGGGACTTTGCTGTCACTGTCCTCTGGATTTTGCATGTTACCAGTGATGGCTCACATTCTCTCCTACAACGGCAAGGACTGCTGGCATTTTTGCCTGGCACCAGACTGAGTGCTCTCCATGGACTGTGTCCCTGAGTGTTCCTGGTGACCGTGGGGAGTGCATCCTATCACTGTCCACTTTGTAGATGAGGGAATGGAAGCTGGGAGACTTCGAGTGACTCATGCCCATCCAGCTAATAGTGGCGCCAAGGTCGAATTCTGAACCTAGGGTACTGACTACTTTATGGTGATCCTGCCAGTTAGGTTTTAGATTTTGCTTGTTTTTGAGGTTGAGTTTTCCTTCTGGGTTTTTTGTTTCCATTTTTTATTGTCTGCTGGGAAGTCCAGGACATAGCGTCAGCTCACAGCCTCTGCCTGACCACCTCGCTCAGTGCCCTCTCCTGCTCCATTTACTTGTGCTGCCCACTTGGCATACTGACCTCTGCCATGCTTTCCTTTCAGTGTGGCATCTGCAGTAAGCCCATGGGCGATCTCCTGGATCAGATCTACATTCACCGTGACACCATCCACTGTGGAAAATGCTATGAGAAGCTCTTCTAGGTGGGTGCTGGAAACTCAAGGGGCAGGCTGACAAGAGACCCATGGGAGTAGAAATTTTTCTGGGTCTTCCCTCAGGGCCCTGCTGTCCCTCTCAGCCTTGTTGTTCAGAGACCCCCCCACCAAGTCCTTATGTCCCTATGCCCTTTGAGATTTTAAGAGGCACAATCAGAGCCCTCCCTGAGGATGCTTCCAAGTTGCCAGAGCCATGGCAACTGTTTCTCTCTTTCTCTCAAGAAACACCTTCCATCCAGCACCTCAGATGTGCCCTCCAGTTTCCCTGGGCTGTCACTGGCCTCTGTTAGCCCTAATTTGTGACAAGGAAATAAAGACTTAGAAAAGAAAAGGGTCTGGGGAGCCACCTCCTTGGTTTATGGTAGAATCAGGACCTCACTTCAGGCCTTTGAGGCTAGCGCACCATTGCTCACACAACTTCACACTCAAACTCGATAGTCAAGGTGTCCGTGCCTCTGCTAACAGTCAGTGAAAGTGCCAGCAGAGTCCAAGCACAGAGAAGAATAGTTCCCTTGAAGACAGTCCAGATGGCTAGCATCCAGACCTTCCCTCAGCAACACACAAGTTGCCTTCTCTCCAGGAAGTGCATCTGAGCTAGACTCTCGCTCCTGATAACTGGAGCGGTGCCCTTCTCCAAGAGCCTCTGGCTGTTTTTTGGATGAGACGTGTGATTTCAATCTTACGGCTACCTCTGTTTCCTTTCAGCTCCTCCTGGCTGATCAGAAGCTAATGATTCCTGGACAGATTTGGTCACCCCAAGTTGCGGGTTCCTCTTCCCTTACTTCCCTCTGATTTCTTCATCCTCTTGCCCTTCTTAGGTTGAGCTTGCTTACATCCAGTATCATAGCTTAATGCGCCATGATGATTCCTTATGTGTGTAGCTTTTATTGCTTAGTGCTTTACATCCATGATCTCATTTCAGGCTAGGTCAAAGGATTGAGCCAGAATCCTATCTTGGCTTCCCTAAGACAAATTGGCTTTCTAATGAGTAGAGGTGGCCTGGCATGTTGGGCACAGGCAGAAGTGTGGACTTTAGTGTGCACTGGGCCCCTTGAGGCTTCTGAGGGACTGAGTTAAAGACTGTTGACGATCCCCAGTGGGTAAATGACAGGCATTAGATGCTGAGGGTTGGCGTAGGCTAATATTTAGCTTGTATAATTGCCATATATATTTTTAATTTTCCACACACTCTTTTAGCGTAGTTAGTTGTTTTTAATTGAATTCTGTACAACAGGTTTTAATTACCTTCTCCTGTCCACCGTTCACTGAGTCTGAGCTTTCCCTGCAGGTATGTGGGGATGCATTAGAAAGTGTATACAGTAGGGTTAAATTCTTCAGGGCATGATTTCAGGAGGCTCCTGACCAGAGGGCTGTTGAGTCTTGCTAGCTGATTAGTATCTTTGTCCTAGGGCCTTGCTTCTTGAGTTATCCACAGGCTTCCTTTCAAGTGGCTTTTAGGGATTATAGACCCTGGCAGGATTGTGAAGAGAGGAAAGCAGCTAACATTTCTTGATGCCCTAGCGTGCACATAGCAGGCATGAGTCCCCACAAAGGGGTGCTCTTGTCCCCATTTACAGCCAAGGGCCATGTAGTTCAGGTAGTGGCCACCGCCCTCTGGAGAGCTGTGTTCGGAGCCTGAGCTCTGTTCCGGAGCACTGACTTGGTGTTCAGTGTGTGCCTGGGACTGTACAGAGGAACCTAACCCCACTGGGGAATGCTGGCCCTTGGCGAAAGAGGTGAAACCGCACTGTAGCACCCCGAACCCCTGCGAAGCACTGGAAGGCCAGAATTGTCCCCCTTCCTCTCCCCGCTCTGTGGAAGATGCCCCCAGATTGATGCTTCGGGCTGGGAACAGAGTTGACTCATGCATATTCCCAGAGGAGCTTGTCAGCCCAGAGAGAGCTCCAGCAGGCTAGCTGCTCAGAGCGTAGAGCCTTCAGCGACCCCTGCTCCCCAGTGCAGACTGCCTCTAGCTAGCAGCCACCCCAGCAGGCACGCACCCTACCTCTGTACACCTCGCTGACACCCGTTCAGCTTCCCCTGTGTTGTGCTGCAGCCTGTAGGCCGAGCTTTGCTCTGTGAGCTTCTCAAGAGGAAGAATAACCTAGCATTTTCTTGGGCACGAGACAAAGGCCTCTTCTCTTGATGTCATTCTAAAATGCCTTCCCTGTCTTTCTCGCTTTTGAGCCCTGTGCACATCAGCTTGTGGACTTGTTTACCCTTCCTGCCACATGGTCCCAGGGGTCATTCCGTTCATCTGCATAGCTGCGCTTCAGGCTCACTCTGAAAGGGAAGGAGTGGTACAGTGTGCCGTGAGACCATACTGGAAGGAACCACGGGACTTGGCACATGGTGGGCACCAGCACATCGATGCCATGCAGCTGAGTGAAAGAGAGTGAAGCCCTTCCCTTGGTGAGAGGTGCCACCCCAGAGTGCAGTGTGGGCCCACTGATGGAATGCGGGGAGACAAGGCCCACGACAGCCTGGCTTCCCTGACAGGTACACTCTGCCCCTAAGGGCACTTTGGAAGTGGCACGCAAGGCCCTGAAAGGTAGCTGGCAAGGTCAGTGTGGACCTTGGTCCAAAACAGCCTTTCATGTGCTTTTTGACAGAATTCTACAGACTTAAGGAAGAGGGATGGTGGCATTATGTTTTTGCTTCTTGTCAGTTGCTTAGTGTTTCTAATTGTACCTGCCTAGCCCACATCAATGTACACAATTTGAATAAATGTTAAGATATTACACGTGTCTTTTATTAAGTGTAATAACTTGGCGTATTCAGCTGTGTGGTTTACTGAATCCTTTCTCTTTACAAAAGCAACTAAGTACTTAATAGCAAGGTACAGCAACCATGCTTGCACAGAAACTGGAGCTCCAGGCTCCACAGGTCTGAGATAGGGAAGTCTTTTTGGTCCCTTCTGTCCTTCAACACCGTCACAGACAGATGGCAGCCTAGTCCTTGCTGCTCATGTCCAGTACCTGGAATCTCGGTCCTCTCTAAGCCCTTTCTGCCTGTGGACAGCCTCAGTTTTAGAAAATGAATTCTCTTATAATGTGACATTCTCTTTTTTTATTTTTGTATTAGTCCATGTGAGCACTCAGGAGGCTGAGGCAGGAGGATTGTTGCCTGGGCTACATAGTGAGTTCAAGGCCAGCCTGGACTACATAGTGGCAGCTTGTCTCAAACAAAAACAACCAAAGGGGTGGGGAGAGAAAGAGAAAGGGGTGGCATATGATATCTAAACTCATATGTCTGCTTTATTTCATTCAACATTATGGTCTCAAGATGCATCCATTTTCCCATGAAAGATTCAAGCTTATCTTTTTTTTTTTTTTTTTTTTTTTTTT